ATTTTTCTTACACTTTATGCATTTTTCTTTCTTCAGCAAGCACAGTGCTGACAGTTGCTGAAGCTCCTTTATACCTTGCAGCCAAACCTTTTCATCCTTTTCCAAAGTTTTCTCCTATAGAAGCTGGTTAATCTGCCTCTAAGAAAAATCTCTCTAAACGCAGTACTGCAACACCAGGGTCAGTGCCTGCATGCAATAGCCCCCTTTACATTTAAGTTTTAAGGTTACAAAGCAGCAATGGGGATTTAGGCTTGAAGCTAAGACTGTAAAGAATATTTCAGCTTTTAAAGCAAGGGCAGCTCTTGTTTTGCTGCTGTGATATTTTTGTCCTTTGACACAAATGTTTGCCCCTTCATCTGTTTCATACTTACGTTGAGTATACATTTCTGCTAATGCACTTAGGTCCTGCTCCTGCTGAGGTCAATGAGAAAGCTCCCATTCAGTCCATTGGTGCATGATGGATCCCTCTTTAAGGGCCATTCTCTCTCCTTATTCTCCTTATGGAACTATCATTAATATCAATGGGAGTTTTGCACAAAGAGAAAGGATACATTTTACTCACTTAAAGCCAAAGTGGAAGTCAATGAGTCAAGGAGTTGTACTTTTGTAATGACCACAGATTTCAGGGATGAAGACTACTGAAATTAATTTGATTTGCCAAGTAAATTAAAAGTTCCTTTAGCGTTTCAATTAAAGGCTGTAACCCATGTGACTTAAATATCAATAAATAAAGGAATTGAATAATAGTTCTACACACAGCATGGGCCAAAGTGATCAATCAAATCAACAGCAGCTATAAAAAAGGTATGCTAATGAAAGACAATGCTGATGAACCCTTGCATAATTAGAGTAGTAGATAGTAGGGCAGTGAAGTACCACCATAGTTCATCTGACTCTGAGAGCCATGTGTGTTATCTAAGGAAATGACACTATTCTCTAACAATATTTACTTTGGTATGTAATGTTAAGTGATTAATTATACAGCTTTTCAAGCCACAAGAGATGCTCACAACAAATAGCTTCCTGTTGTTTATCAAACTCTAGCCCTTTGTCCTTTATTTTCTCACGTTGTTGCCCAGGCCTACAGTAAGGGTGTTAAAAGCTTGTAACAACCATTCCCTTGCCATGACAGCCTCAGTGAACTGTATTTTATTGAGCAAAGCAGATTTTCATTTTGAAAATAAGGCCTTCCTCATTATGACATGATTATGTATGATTATAGGAAGAAGTAATATTCATTTCATGGCTTGTAAGCTACATGCTGCTCTTTAACCAGCAGTTTGCAGAGATTTCCTGTATGATTTACTCCACAGTGCTACGTATGCTACTTTGTCCTCCTCCTTAAGTGGTTTTGAATAAAATATGTGTGCAGCATTTTGCATATCTATATCTCAGGAATGTGACTCCTATAGTTTGTCAGACAATAGTGCAGCTATAAAAAGTATTTTTACTGGATGCTAAGAGGCATTGCAGAATAAATAGTCAGGCAATATTCATACATGGAAACAGTCAGCATCTTTCAATATGCTTTCACAGGGCAGGAATTGCTTTAAGAAGTCTTATGCAGTAAGCAAGAACAACTATTTTCCTTTGATAGGGCCATTTCTCTCCCAGAAAAATGATATATTTGAGATTATCCTCATTTCACACAAGCTAAGGGCCCAATCCTTTATACATTTGCTACCAAGTGTAGTACTTGCCAACATAAGTAATCTCATTGTAACAAGGAACACCCTAAGCACATGGGATCAGGCCCTAATGCATTATTTTTGAGAAGGGATATAAGTTTTCATCTGAATGAAGGCAGGGAAAGACTCAAGAAGAGAACAATCGAGATACTATAATCAAAAATAAAATCCTGGTATTGAAAGTGACGTGTCATGATGTCACTATTGTGGATTGTTCTAGGCTAGCTCAGATAATGGCCACTCAGCCACACAAAGCACAATAAACTTCTACAAAATAGTTTGCATCTCAGAAAATAAATACCAGATGTTTGTTTATCAGACACTGAGTGAAATGTCAAATAATTTTAGTGAATGCATTTGATGTTCGGCTTCAGATGTACAGTCTTTCATCACCACATCCCTCCACAGTTCAAATTAACGCGAAACAGAAGTTCTTCAAACCAACGTACCAAAATACAACTAGTATAAAACAAAAAGCCAGCTGTCAAATAATCTATCACAAATGGAGATGGGCTGACTGAGTTAGGGAAAAATGGGCAATCTCTGTACATTAATGTTTGGAAGCCTTTGTGGAAAAGTGAGCATACTGTTATACATAGACAAAGACTAGAAAGTGTAGGGTACAGCTGTTCCTGTAAGCACAACCCCAAAAGCATAAGAACATCTAATGAAATTATGACACAGTTGTCCTCGAAGTATTGCCCTCTGAATATGATTCTTCTGGAAATTCTAACACTGAGCATCTGTGTCTGACCAGAGTTATCTTTTTGGTACCTTCAGTTGCCAGTGGGTAGTAGGAATTTGGATATAGGTTGAAATTCACCTCTGTGCAGAGGCCTATGCAACACTTAAACCCTTTGCACAGAGGTAAATTTCACCTATAAAGCCCTTCTCTAAACAGGTTGTAAAGCTTTATGTTCATCCTTAATGAACGTTAGAAAGAAAAACACAGTTCAAAGTGAGTTCTCAAAGTGATTAATATGAGAATTCAGTGATGGGGAGTTTAAAAGCACGGGAGGACATCTTATGCAGTTTCGAGGGTAGTTTCCACCTTTTTTATATTATTGTTATCACCTCAGTTAGTAAGAAGGATTCATAAACATGGTTTTGAAGGTCTGGTTTGATGGCAATAATTGTTTGCTTTAGAGTCAAACGTTTCCCTTAGCCTCTGATGTTAAGTTTTAGCTTGGCTTCAAATATCTAGAACTCTCATAACAGACTGTCGCTTGACTTCATTCAAAATGTATTACTGACTGTATGTGAAAAAATAAAAAAAAAACCACTAGAGTCATTTCAAATCAGCTGGAACTGTACTTGCTTAGGACCCTAATCATTTCAAACCTGAAGAGCTGTTGGAAATTTTAAGAGAAGCAGTTCATTTAAATAACTCAGCACTACACTCCCTCAGACTTCCAGATTTTCAAGTGCACTTCAGCCTGGAAGTGAATGTGATATTGGACATGACTCTGTGCAGCACACTTTACAATCAGCAGAGTACAATTTTGAGAGCATTTCAAGTTAAGTTGAGATTGCTCTGTGCAATGATACCCAGACTCCCCCATGAACTTTCAGATTGTAGCAATCTAACATTTGAGGCTCTCCAGTAACTTTAACTCACTTGATTGTTTTTGTAAGACAGTATTGGGTTTTTTTTTTAAGAGAGAGAGAGAGAGAGAATTTTTTTTCTATTACAAACAAATCTTTGCAGCATTTCATCCCCAGAAATTCAGATGCGGGGATTTTTTTTTGATTCATCAAGCTAAAATGCAAGTATTGGCATTACCAGCCTTAAAAACTATGGCAGAGACAAGGGTTTTGCACTGAAAGCCAGCACTATCCTTCCCACACAGGGCTACTGTTCTTCTGTTGCAGGACTTCAAAACAACTTATATATGACATGGAAATCAAAATAGCAGCTACCCTGTCCTGAATAACACTTCCTGCAGCTATCTGAGAAAGAATGCAGAGCATATTGATTTAGCCACTCCGGTGCCTTTGGGTGTATGACATATATCCAGGAAAAAGGATGCTTGTGGAACACTGGAGACATACATTCTGCATCCTGCATGCTTTGAAAATAATGAAAAAGCCAGAGACATGCATGGCACATTAGCACAAGAGCAGTTAATTCAATCTATTAATGGCTGGGCACTAGGATATTATGCTGTAGCTTGGGAGAGGGGTTCAATAGGGATTTGTGCAGGAACCAAATATTTGAGCAATTTATTCCTTAATGATAGCTGTATTGCCACAATATACAAGACAACTTTTTTTTGCATTTACAATGACATTTTTAAGTTTTAGTGACATATGTTGACTAGTAACATGATTTTATCAATTCACTCTGACAGAATTAATTATAAAGACTCATGTGACTGTTATAAATCTATCTACCTTAGGGTTTTATAGTGCTGCCCATCACTGTAGTATCTGGGCACTTTCCACATACAAACAGTAGCAATAGCTAAGTTCCTAGTTGACTTCATGGAGTCTCTGTCTTTTGTTCCTTTTAGGGGAGTAAATTAGTAGGGCTAATATTTTGTGACTAATTATATTTCTTATATTGAAATGAAATAAATTGTTATAAGAGGCAAAAGCTAGAGTCCAGCTTTTTGGAAGGCAGGTTAATGAACTTAATTTTAATTAGCACTTCTTACTGTTTGGCACAAAGCCAGAAAATAAGGAAGGAATAAAAGTTATACAGCTCTGATTATTGACCTACTTATTAGAAACCATCTTGGTTGCCCTCAACCCTTTGGATGCTGTCTGTCTGAATGAGGGAGGGAGCGAGAATGCATCTAACACACTATATATATATATATATATCTTTATATATACTGCACAGAAATGCACATGGAGTGGCATTCATTTCCCCAGCAGTCTGGAAAATGTCAGTATGGCTACATCTACACTTAAAATGCTAATGGCACAGCTGCAGCACTTCAGTATAGACACTTATTACAGCAATGGGGGGGTTCTGCCCTCTCTGTAGTAAAACTACCTCCCCGAGAGGGGGTAGCTAGGTCGATGGAAGAATTATCTCTCCTATATATGAAAGAGAACCTTTTAGTACATACCTATTCCTCTTGACTGAAAAGGCAGATGTTTTCACATACTATGGTAATATAGTTTAGGAATAAATTGATACGCAGTCACAGATAAGGAGCTATAGGCCACATTGCCATCAATAATAGGATACTTTTCTTTTTTTATTAACCCCTTATGCTCCTTTGGAAACAAGGCTGTTTTCTGCTATTATAACATTATTATGCTCTAAACAGATTGTCCATATCTCCATGTTTGTTATCACAGGTAGACCTAGGCCTTCTCCGATTTGTCTCTAGCATCGGGACCCAGGGAGCCATCTCAAAGGAAACTAAGAAAATATATTTTGTGAAATCATACCGAGTAGATGTCAGCTCTAACGGAGAAGATTGGATTACACTAAAAGAGGGAAACAAACCTTTGGTAAGTCTTTTCCATTTCACCTCACTCTTGTCAAGTGATAAACCATCATAGTAGCTACAGTAATAAGAAAGGAAGGATGATCAAGCGATTAGGGCCCAAGTCTGGGATGTGGGAGACCCAAATGCAATTCCCTACTCCACAACAGACTTCCTGGGTGACCTTGGGTAAATCACTTTAGTCTTTCTGTGCCCCAGCTCCCCATTGTAAAATAGGGATAATAGAACTTTCTTCTCCCACAGAAGTGCTCTGTAAATAAATCCATTAAAAGATTGTGAGGCTCTTCGGGTATGTCGACACTGCAGTCAGACATGGCTGGCCCATGCCAGCCGACTCAGGCTTGTGGGGCTCGGGCTCAGGGGCTGTTTCATTGCAGTGTAGCTGTTCGGGCTCAGGCTGCAGCCCGAGCTCTGGGACCCTCCCACCACTCAGGGTCTGAAAGCCCAGGCTCCAGCCTGAGCCCAGACGTCTACACAGTGAGTAAACAGCCCCTTAGCCCGAGTCCCATGAGCCTGAGTCAGCTGGCATGGCCAGTTGTGGGTGTCTAATTGCAGTGTAGACATACTGTTGGACAGTACAGTGTTGGGGGTCATATAAGTACCTCAGATAGATGACTCAGCATATCTTTGCAGCCTTATAAAGATTAGTAAATCACCTTCCCTATTGCATTTGTCTATGGATTTGCCCTCTCCACCCTCCAACAGAAACAGCTTTTACCTCTTGTAAGAAAAATCCTCATTATCCACCATCGTGGGCATGAAAGTAATTTGTTTAAGGGCCAAATTCTGCTCACCCTGCTCACATGAGTAGTCTGTTCACTGCTACTCACATGCTCACCCAGAAGTCAGTATTCCCAATAGTTTCTAATGTAACCTAATGGAAACTGAATAACTCCATGCTGCCTTCTTTCAAGATAGTTGTTTTGAGCAGACATGGCTGTTGAAGTCCTGCCATAGTTATGTAATATAAAATATATAAACATATCTATGTGATCTGGACATGTCTGTATCTTCCAGTCCGATCTCATACCTTCAACAAAAGTGTCCACTAAAATGATGATAATCTCTATCACTTAGCTGATTCAATCTTCTAAGCACTTTCATGAACAATAACAAATTAATCCTCACAGCAACCACTTCACGTAGTACTATACCTGTTTTACAAATGAGGGGAAGCTCACAAGGTCAAATGCCACAATGATGGGCACTGTATAAGAACCTAAATAGATATAGAGATATTAAGTGACACCCAACATCATGGAGGAAATCAGTGTTGGAGGTAGTATTAGAACTCAGGGGTTTCTGGTTGTTCGTCATGTGCTCAGAACAAATGCCTCTTTCACAACTAGTCTCAAAATTCAGTTTCCTTGGAAAACTTACAATTTACATGGCTGTTGTACATGCTTTGTTAATGAAAAGATTTGACCACTCTGACTTATTGGTTAGAAGAGTTTAAAAACTTTTTTCTCTAGTCAAAGCAAATCCGATGTAAAACAGCAATGTTTTATTGTAGGTCAGAGTATTAAAAAAAAAGAAAAGAAAATCACATCAACTAAATCTACACCAGGCTGACACTCAATTTTTATATCCCTGATCAAAAACCCAAAGGTAGGGGGACTGGGGCTATTGATGCAGCAACAAGCTCATGAAACTACACAGCTCTTTGAGGAGCCTTTCATTTTGAAAGGATTACAGCTGTAGCATAACCTGGAGTTCCATGCCTTTTAGTCAGAATCATTGGGCCCATCCAGACTCACCCACTAAGAAAAACCAGACCAATTCTTCTTTGAAAGATTTTGCTGCAAGAAATGGATCAGAAGCTGGACATCAGTGTAGAGCAGGGGTTCCGAAACTTGGTTCGCGGCTTGTTCAGGGTAAGCCCCTAGCGGGCCACGAGATGGTTTGTTTACCTGAGCGTCTGCAGGTATGGCTGCTCGCAGCTCCCCGTGGCCGCGGTGCACTGTTCCCAGCCACGGGGAGCTGCAAGCAGCTATACTTGCAGACGCTCAGGTAAACAAAGCATCTCGTGGCCCGCTAGGGGCTTACCCTGAACAAGCTGCAAACCAAGTTTGAGAACCCCTGATCTAGAGGCTCTCCCTAGATAACAAATCCAATACATTAAATTCTTTAATGAATAACTTAGAGGGATGAGCTGATGGCTGCACACAGCTAACCCACCAAGTCAATGCAGAACTGAACATGACAAACAGGAAAATTGGAATTATGTGTAAGAAACTGTCAAATCTCCCATAAAAGGAGAAGTTCTTAAGCCTACATACGTTTAAAAAAAAACAGGAAATTTTGTCTTCACACTATTTGAGGAAGAAGCAGGAAACTGAGTCATCGTCTTTGGACTCTGACTTTTAGAAGTTTTGGCCCTATTACAGAGGAGCATGCTTACCAACAAGAAAGCAGAGACCAATACAATATTTATTTGTGGGACTTATTGTTTGACCATTGACCTAAAGGGACAAAGACAGGATCCTAGAAGATTGAAAACAATCAGCTATAAGGATTAAATCTCACTATACAAGACAAAAAAACTTTGGTATTTGTTAAAAAGGATTTTACATAACAGAAGGTCAAAATAAGCGGTATTATTCCCTGCAAAACTCAGAGTCCAAGTACAAGCAAAGGAATGCACATTTTATCCTGATTCAGTAAAGGAACTTTTACACAGCCTAAAATGCAGATCATTCCTCACTGAATTAAGTCCAGATCTTTGATTCTGAGTCACATGTAAACAAAGACCTTGGCTCATACGACACCTCTTTGCACCAGCTCAGTGAAGCTTAGAAGCCATAAAGCTGCCCTAACCAGGCAGCTGAGGTTTTTTCCAGCATAGCACAATCCTTGGATAGCACAGACCCAGTGTAGCTGCCCTTCATCATGCCCTCCACACAGACTCCTGGCATGAGGGACGTGCCAGGAGAAAAGAGGCATTGCCAGACCATTGCTACACTCTAGTGATCCTCAGCTCACCTAATGGTCCCTGAAGCTGTCCTGTCTTGCTTGGTGGAGGTGGGGGGAAAGGGGTTAAACAGTATCTAGGTAGCATATAGCTACCTTTACCCACACCTTGTGTTCTGCACTGAACACAGTTCATCTGAGCATGAGGTTCAGGACCTATCCAATTTATCCCAGTCTAACTATAATGGATTAACAATTGCATTCAATATTGTCATGTATATTGTGTCTTCTTTAATTTTCTTCCCAAAGCCACAGTACAGCAGAGAAACTGTTAAGCATTGGTATGTTATATAGAGGCATCTTCCAGGCTTAGTTGCTTGCAGAAATGATGCTTTGTGTATAATGACATATTCCTCCATGCAAAAAACTGTTTCAACTTTGGATTGTTGGTATGTGTAAAACACAGAATTATAAACTACATTTAAAAGAAAATATATTATTTTTTAAAAATGGTGCCTTTCCTTTCTTCCTAAAGGTATTTCAAGGGAATGTCAACCCCACTGATGTTATTCATAGGATTTTTCCCAAGCCAGTGTTAGCACGATTTGTTCGGATCAGACCTGCAAGCTGGGAAAATGGGATATCGCTGAGATTTGAAGTTTATGGCTGTAAGATAACAGGTAGGTGTCCGGAAGATTTTGAAAACCTGACATTTGTTGTATTTACATTTGGCACTTTTTTCTTTTTCTTTTTAATGATTCTGTTCTCTAAAAAAAGACTATTCTCATAAAGTTGCCAGGTGTCTGGTTTTTTACCAGAATGTCTGGTCGAAAAGGGACCCTGACAGTGGCCTTTAAAAGTCCCGTCGGCGGTACAGCGAGGCTAAGGTAGGTTCTCCGCCTGGCTGGCTCCACATGGCTCCTGGAAGCAGTGGCATGCCCCCCCTCCACCTTCTAGGTGTTGGGGAAGCCAAGGAGCTCCACGTGCTGCCTCCGCTCCGAGCACCAGCTCCACGGCCAATGGGAGCTGTGGGGGCAGCACCTGAGGACACGGCAGCGTCCAAAGCTGCCTGACCATGTCTCTGCGTAGGAGTGAGGGGGGGGACATGCCACTGCTTGAGGTAAGCGCTGCCCGGAGCCTGCACCCCTAACCTCCTCCTGCTTCCCAACCTCCTGCCCCAGCCCTGATCCCCCTCCCACTGAACCCTTCAATCCAAGCCTGGAGCCCCCTCCCACACCCTGAACCCCTCATTTCTGGCCCCATCACAGAACCCACACCCCCAGCCCAGAGCCCGTACCGCTCCCACACCCCAATTCCCTGCCTCAGCCCAGAGCCCCCCCCCATACTCCGAACCCCTCAGCTCATAGCCCCCTCCTGCACCCCAAACTCCTCATCCCTGGCCTCACCCCCAGCTAGAGCCCTCACCCCCTCTTGCATCCCAACCCGCTGCCTCAGCCCAGAGCCCCCTCCTGCACCCTGCAGTCCTCATTTCTGGCCCCAGCTGGAGCCCTCACCCCCTCCCACACCCCAACCCCCTGAGGCAGCCCGGTGAAAATGAGTGAGTGAGGATGGGGAGAGCAAGCGATAGAGGGGGAGGGATGGAGTGAGCAGGGGCAGGGCCTCAGAGAATGGGCATGGCAGGGGCGGGACCTTGGAGGAGGGGCGAGGCAGGGGACAGGGCAAGGGTGTTCAGTTTTGTAGAAAGTTGTCAACCCTAGGTCCACATGTCTTCCACATTTGCATGGGCAGAGCCCTAAACAGGGGTATAGTTTGGCATAAAGTAGGTGGAATTAGCAAATATAAAAACCAAAGAAGCAAAACCCCTGGAAAAATACAAACATTACTTTGGCATCATCTTTAGAGACTACAGATTTAAGGGGTGAGAAAACTGGGGTACAGTTTTCTTTTAATTATTTTACTATGTCATGCATTACTCTTTTGACAGTCCCTCACCTGGCCCTCCTTTCCGCACCCCATAGTCTCCAAGATATTCCCAGTTAGGCCAAGGGTTTTATTATAGATTTATTAAGGAGTTCATTTTGTATTTCAAAGCCAGGACAATGTAACATGGGATGAACAAAAAACCTTTATCTGGTTACTGAATATAAAGCTAGTTATTTACTGGTTTCAGAGTAACAGCCGTGTTAGTCTGTATTCGCAAAAAGAAAAGGAGTACTTGTGGCACCTTAGAGACTAACCAATTTATTTGAGCATAAGCTTTCCTGAGCTACAGCTCACTTCATCGGATGCATACTAGCTATTTACTGAATACCGCCCAATGTTAATATGAGTATCTAAACAGGGTGTCTAGATTTGCACTTGAAACTCAAATCAGCATTTATGTGAGGTGCATAAATGCCTAAGTGCTTATTTGGGCACTAGGATTTGCATGTTCTCTTTATAGTATATAGTGGATACCCAAGTTGAAAATTAGAAAAGATGTGAACGCACAGATCTACAAACCATTCCAACAACTAGATGTATAAGGCCAGATTCCCATTTGTGAAAGAACATTAGTCTGGTTGGAGTGCTGTTGCCCTTTTGTGGCACAGAAATCTCCCCAGATGATCTGTGTAAGCACTTTTGTAATGGCACCATCTGGCCCTCATTACCAGCAAAATGCTGTCTTTAAAAAACAAACCAAAATAACAATTTTTGAATAAAAAAGTTTAATTTTTGAATTTAAAAAGTTACTTCCATTTTTTTATATTAATAAAATTCCCAATCAGATGTCAAGAATTATAACATTCATAAACCAGTCGGAGAACACTTCGATCTCTCTGGTCACTTGAATACAGACCTAAAAGTCGCAATATTACAACAAAAAGACTTCAAAAACAGACTCCAATGAGAGACTGCTGAATTGGAATTAAATTTGCAAACTGGATGCAATTAACTTAGGCTTGAATAGAGACTGGGAGTGGATGGGTCATTACACAAAGTAAAACTATTTCCCCATGTTTATTCCCCCCCTCCACCCACCACTGTTCCTCAGATGTTCTTGTCAGCTGCTGGAACTGGCCCACCTTGATTATCACTACAAAAGGTTCCCCCCCTCCCCCCGCTCTCCTGCTGATAATAGCTCACCTTAAGTGATCACTCTCATTACAGTGTGTATGGTAACACCCATTGTTTCATGTTCTCTATGTATATAAATCTCCCCACTGTATTTTCCACTGAATGCATCTGATGAAGTGAGCTGTAGCTCACGAAAGCTTATGCTCAGATGAATTTGTTAGTCTCTAAGGTGCCACAAGTCCTCCTTTTCTTTTTGCGAATACAGACTAACATGGCTGCTACTCTGAAACCAAGAATAGAGTTGACAATGAGTTTTCTGATACTTCCTGGTTCCCATCAGACCAGAAATACTTGTGGTATTTTGGTACTTCCACTACCTTCTGAAACCAGGAAGTACAAAATTAAGCAAACAAAAAATAAATTAAATTAAAGACTCAACCAAAATGAGATTTGAGTTTGGAGGAAAGGGTCAAGTTATTTCTTATATTCTTTGAACTGGCTGTGGCATGTCCTTTTCTACTTTGGTTTTATGGCTGTATCAGATTTGCACAGATTAACTGTTAAACGTGGCCTGTTTCTTCTGTAGATTATCCTTGCTCTGGGATGTTGGGTATGGTGTCTGGACTCATTACCGACTCTCAGATTACAGCATCTAGTCAAGTTGACCGAAACTGGATCCCAGAAAATGCTCGTCTTATAACAAGTCGTTCAGGCTGGGCACTGCCACCAACTACTCACTTGTATACGAAGGAATGGCTTCAAGTCGACCTCGGTGAGGAGAAAATGGTGCGGGGCATAATTGTTCAGGGAGGCAAGCTCCGAGAAAACAAAGTGTTCATGAAAAAATTCAAGATTGGCTACAGCAATAATGGATCCGATTGGAAAATGATCATGGATGCCAGTAAGAAGAAGATAAAGGTGAGGGAGAAATCACTACATTGTAAATTCTCTTTTACAAAACACTTGCTTAGCTCTGATCTTTGGAAAAGGGTTGTGTTGAGGTGACCCTAGGTCTAGGCTAAATAGGGAGACTTCTTCAGCAGCAAATCTAAACGAATGTTACTAAAACAGTACTGTGACTGTGGTCAGGCTCCAACAAGCCAATCCCAAATTGCTCCTCACTGCTATGGAGCTTTTGCTTATTTATCATCCCCCGCAAATGAGCGTGATCCCTGTTTCTGTTCGGTCATGTGCAGCAGGCACACTGTGGGTCTGAGGTATGCCTCGGAATCCTTTGCAACGCTGTGGTGACAAATGCTGAAAAGAAATGCTGGAGGGTTCTATTCTTAGCCTGGCTACTGGCTTTATGTGAATTTAGGCATATCACTAAATCTGTGTGTGCTTCATTTTCCCTAGCTGTAAAATGGGGACAATGCTATTTACCTCAAAGGGCTGATCTGAAGATTTCTGAATTGTATGTAAAGTGCACTGGGATAGAGGTGCTCTGTAAGGCCTGATGCAATGCCCATTGAAATCAATGAAAACTCCCGAATGATTTTAATAAGATATGGACCCCGTCTTCAATGCACAGTACTATTATATTATTACTAGTGCAGGATTTGGGACCCTGTCTGGGAAAGGCAATTGACACATATGGCTGAGCAGAAATAGCAAAAACTTTAGGGGAGGAAATGACATAGACAGAGGACCAAGTGGATTGTTGTGTGACTGAGCTGGTAGGAGGAAAAAAAAAGAACAACAACAAAGAGCAGGCCCCAAATAGTGTATTTGCCTAGGTCCAGTCCTGGATGCATACTCTGGAATGTTTTAAAAATATCTAGCCAAAATCCTGTCCATTTAGTCTCATGTAGACTCGGGGGGGAGGGATAGCTCAGTGGTTGGAGCATTGGCCTGCTAAACCCAGGGTTGTGAGTTCAATCCTTGAGGGGGCCATTTAGGGATCTGGGGCAAAAATTGGGGATTGGTCCTGCTCTGAGCAGGGGTTAGACAAGATGACCTCCTGAGGTCCCTTCCAACCTTGATATTCTATGATTCTATGTGCCTTTTTGGTATCTTTGCCCAGAATGTACATTTAGATATTTTTGCCTGAAAGCACAACTGTCACCTCCATAATCTGCCTGTGTCTCCTACTCTATTACTTAAGAGATATCACCATTCACTGCGCAGGGCATAATGAACAGGAGGACTTGTGGCACCTTAGAGACCAACAAATTTATCTGAGTATAAGCTTTCGTGGGCTACAGCTCACTTCATCGGATGCATAGAATGGAACATATAGTAGGAAGATATATATACACATACAGAGAACATGAAAAGGTAGAGTAAGAGTCTCTAAGGTGCCACAAGTACTCCTGTTCTTTTTGCGGATACAGACTAACATAGCTGCTACTCTGAATCAGGTCATAATGCTTTGCTACTGACATGGTAATGACAAGGAACCATGAATTGTACCTACAATAAGGGAATAAAGAGAGGAAGAGCAATGACAAAAATGCAGCAAAAAACTCCACACACCTGTTTATCTCAGTTCTATCATTCTGGAGTTCAGATATAAAGGCCATGCCTGCCCTGCCCCCTGTGTGTGCTGGGCCGGACCCGCCCCCCCGAACCCCCTCCTGCAGCTGAACCCCCTGTCCTGAGCCCCCTGCTGCCCTCCACACCCCTCCTGCACCCTGACCCCCTGCCCTAAGCCCCCTGTCACACCCCTCCTGCATCCTAACCCCCTGCCCTGAGCCCCCTGCCGCACCTCACAACCCTCCTACACCCTGACCCCCTGCCCTGAGCTCCCTGTTGCACCCCACACCCTGACCCTCTTCCCTGAGCCCCCTGCCACACCCCGCACACCTCCTGCACCCCAACCCCCTGCCCTGAGCCCCCTGCCGCACCCTGCACCTGTCCTGCACCCCCTGGGGGCAGGAAGGGGGCGGAGTTGGGGTGGGGATTTCAGGGAAGGGGTTGGAATGGGGGCAGGAAAGGGGTGGGAAGAGGCAGGGCAGGGGCGGGGCCTCACGGAAGGGATAGAGTGGGCGCGGGGCTGGAGCAGCGGGGGAGGGGGTGGTCAGTGGTGCAGCCCTCAGACCAATGTACTAGTCCTCATGTGGCCCTCATGATCATATGAGTTTAAGACCCTTGGGCTAAGTGGACACATGACTAGCTTTTCTTAGCACATTTTGTAAATAGTGGGCTTCATTCTTTCCTGTTGCAACTCCACAGAAAAGTCCTTCTCAGTCCTGAGTCCTTCTTAGTTGATTATCTTTCTTCCTAATTTGTTTTGGGGATATCTCATTTCACTTGGACTATTATAATTCTCTTCTCCATGGTCTCTTCAATTTCCAGCTCTTCCAGATTCCAGCATGTCTCCACCCACCTCAAATGTACAAAGAAATATATATCACTTCAATCCACAGGCAACTTCATTGGCTCCCTACTCATTTTAGGATTCAATTTATGTTTGCCCTCCTTCTATGTAACCCCCGTGGACTTGCTCCTATCTACATCATGAAGCTTGTCTCTCTTTTTCCATTCTCCCTCCTGACTCCTTCTACTCATCTACTACTGACATTCTCACTCTCTTTCCATGCTTTCTGGCCACTGATGCTGCAAGAATCTTCTCCTTTGCATCTCCTGCCATCTGGAACAATCTTCCTTAATCCATCTGCCAGGCTGACTTTGTTTTAAAATGTCACTAAGAATTATATATTTTCTCTCTTTCCAACACTTATTACCTTCCCTTTTACTGAGTTATTATTTATCTTTGTAACCAAATAAAGCATTTTATGGTACAGCCTGTATGAAAGACACAACTCACAATCACGTTTTGCTGTATGCACCTTCCTCTGCCCCTGCAAAGAAGATTGGTGTGTGTTGGAAATGAGCAATCAAAACTGAATCACAGGCAGGTCTATACTACAAAAGACAATGATTCAATATAATTATGATTCAATATAATTCTAGATGCCTCTTAAATTCTAATGCCTAGGTGTCAGTGCTGAGTACTGATGTCTTTTATAACACAGTTGTCATTATAATATGTTGCTATTAAGACTATTATTAAAAGAGAAGTCAGGATTCCTTAGATAACATATGTCTGCCTACTTTTACACATTAAATGGCTTGTCATATTCTTTCTCATACAGTAGGTAGCTACTCTGACCTTTTGAGCTGTATTAATATACAAATATAAAAAGAAAGCCTTAATAATTGTAAATTAATTTGATACAAATCGCAGTGCCTTCTGAATACCCATTCCTGACCAAAATCTTCTGAGTTCTCTCAGAACACTAGCTGACCTAGTGCTCTTTGAAAGAAATCCCAGAAACCCAGTCTTCTATAGGGAGTGAGGATAGTCATGTCATTATTATAAGCAGCTCTTAATATCAGTAATTCCAGGTACTGGTATATTTACCATTATTGGTACTATTGGTTTTGGGGTTTTTTGGTGATTAATACTCAAGACTCAACTCCACACTTTAGGGCCAGATTTTGCTCTGATTGATTTCAAAGGTAGCAGAGGCATGTCCTCTAGAATAATAATTTATTGCAAGGCCTTGCATATGCATATGTACACCACCCATTTAACTGTGCCTAGTTCACTCCACAATAAGGCTTGGTGTGCTCCAAAAGCCAGGCTCTGAGACACTCCAAACAGCCCCAAGATTAATTGTGGGTTAGACCATGCACAATTGAATAGGAAGCAGCAGGGCACTAGCTGGTACAGCCAAAGTCTCAGTCAAGTAAACTTGTACAGTTGCCAAAAAGGGTTGGGAGCCGCTGGTTTACTATATAGAAACTCAAACCAAAAACAAGTGGCATTTTTAGAATTACAGTGAAAAAAAATCAATAATCAGTTTTTCCTGTGGCCTATCCCTGCTTTGAAATACAAAATCAGCTTTTCCTGCTGCCTCTGCTTTGTCTGCCTTTGGATCACTAGCAGGAAAGTGCTGTGTGTTGAGTTGTGGTCTCATCCAAATAAGACGTGTATCTGGCAGCTGCTTTTCTTATCAATGCAAAAATGAAGCTTCATCCTGAAGGACTAAGAGCTGGAAGTTCCCTTAAATGTCACTGTAATCTCAAATTTGGATTCCAGTTCAAAGGAGATTTTGATTAGCATTGCGATTCAGCCAGTTCTTATACAATAAACTCTCAGCTGCTTTACATACAATTTATTGCTCTTTTCTTTTGTCTAGCCTGTACTTCAGTGAAATTATTTTATGAGTAATGCTGGAATTCAGGAGATCTGAGTTCCATTTCTGGCAATGCCACAGGTCTTCTGTATGATTCTGGGCACTTAATACTCTGTTCCCCACCGGTAAAATGGAAATAATGATATTTCCTTTTTTCCTATCCTTTATTCTCTATATTTAGAATGTAAGTTCTTCATGTCAGGAACTGTCGTTTACTGTGTATGTGCTGTGTGTGTATAGCACCTAGCACAATGGGGCCCTGATCTCAACTGGTGCCTCTAGGTATTGATGAAATACAAATAATAAATAGTAATAACTTGATCTACATACAGAACTTCCATTTCACTGACATCAGCAGGAGTCACAAGCAGTTGAAAGCTGCTGTATAACTAAGGGATCCACAATGCTGCTGAGAGATTTTTGTCCCAAATACATGTCCATCAAGCTGCTTTGCCCTCTGAAATTCTGTTGGGTACTCTTTGCAGATCTGTTAGTAGGTAGTTTTCTTTGTTCTTATTCAAGACCAGTTTCATTGGAAGAACTCTTGCAGCTACTGCTCCTGAGTTTAATTTGCACCTTTTTAAAATAACTATAACTTATGAAACTCTGACTCTGTCACTGCGGGAAATCAGATTGAAGTTTTCTCTTGAATAGTTGGGTTATTATTATAACTACTTAAAAAGTGACAGGATCTTTTCCTCAGTCATTTTCTCCCCATGAAGTGCTGAAAATGTCACCCAGTAAAACCCCAGATATCACAGTGTCATTTAAAAACATGTCTCATTAGACACTCAGCTCCTGTTATGACCCTGATAGATTGGTTGCTACTGAGTTTATGAAAAATGAGATGTGTCACTTTTCAGAGAAGCTTTAACTACATGTTCCTTCCTCATTTAAGAAAGGAATGTCAGGCACTTATTAAATTGGTAGGATTTGGCCTACTTCTCATCCAATTCAAATACTAGAGACCTAAAGAAAAAAAGACAATTGTTGAAAGCGATTTTTTTTTAACAAGCAGCATTTGTCATGCCTTGCAGACTTTTGAAGGCAACACCAACTATGATACGCCTGAGCTACGTACTTTTGAACCCATAACAACCAGATTAATCCGTGTCTACCCTGAGAGAGCCACACATGGAGGACTGGGGCTGAGAATGGAACTACTGGGCTGTGAATTTGAAGGTAATTGCTCTGACAGAGATGAATGCATTGTATTAATTATTTTCATACAGATACACTCTGGCTTGGAGTACTGCTGAGCACAGCTGCTCCCATAGGAGTAGCACGTGGGACTCTTGCATCAGTGACTGCCATCAGTGCTGTTTCTTGGCCCGGTCAACTCCCTCACTGAGGACATTTGAATATGTCTGCGGCACTAAGTTATATATTATTCTTTCCACAATTCCTTTTGTGAATCCTTGTGATGGTCTCACCGCACAGGGTCTTCTGCTCCTTTAAGCAATCTCAGGATTACTTGAATATTGCACAAGAGGGGTTTGCAGCACTTTTCAGAGAGACCAAAGATGCGTCCCTACCCCCAAGTGGTTTGCAATTGAGGTTAGTTATATGACATGACACAGGAAGAGAAGGCACATTTACACAAAATAAGATGCTGAGGACACTTTCTGCAAGTGTTACCCACTGTGGTGGGTTTGATAGGTTGGTTGAGTGGTTGTTGTTGTTTTTTGTTTGTTTGGGGTTTTTTTGCTAATCAAGGCCCCAGTTCTGTATCGGGCACCTAGAAGATAGATGGCCAGGACAAGAAAAGTCAAGGAATCAATCCTGCAACAGTGCCCTGAAGTATCACAATGGCTTTATTTCTGTATACCAAAAAAGTGAAGTGCATTTGGTCATTTTATCTGATGGATAATAGTGCAGAAGGGTGGCCATTACAAACGATAAAGCTGCTGATCTTCTGCATTATTCTTATTTATATTTATGAAGCATCACTATTCAAGTCTATTGAGATTCTTACACTAGTCCTATTACAGTGGTATCCAAAGATAAATTAAAGCAACTAGTATATGACATGTGGTTCCTTCTCTATTCCATTCCCCAGGAGAAAGTGTGGGAGGTGTTGTTGTTAAAGCTGAACTATATGCTGCTTTGTGTGAAAGCCGGGTTGAAGAAGTGTGATTCACACTTGGCCTGCAAAGTGATGAGATTGGAGGGACTTCTCTGTTTCTGGGGCCATTCTCAATTCCTATGGGAGTTCTCAGTTCCTGCAGGTCATTGCCCTTGCTTTTGATCAAGGAGAGAAGATGCAGTACCTGCCCAAAAGGCCCTTGCTGTCTATGGTGCAATCATTCTCCAATCGAACTCAATGACTGTTTTGCTAACGATGTTCGTAGGAACAGAATCAAACTCTAAAGCAGACACACAGCACTACATAGTACTCTACTCAGAAGGAAAGTGGGAGGGCATAAAGACTCTCCCTTCTATGTATTCATTCAAGGGCTGAGCACAATCACAGTCTTTATGCTCACCTGAACACAATGTGAGTGAGGATAGTGCCATTAGAATTACTAGCCACTCCAAAAGTGGTGAAGAGGTTGGTCCATGGCTCCACCACACTATCCCATCCTGACCAGGAGAATTGGCTAGCTGGAGAAGGGATAGAAATTGTGATAGGAACAGAGACACAGAAGAAGTTGCAAAAATATCAGTGGGAGAAGGATCCAATGGGAATGATTAGCAGGAAGGTTTGCATGCAACCAGGGCATTCAGAGAGGTTAGGATGAAATAAGAGCTGAAATGCAGGCAAAGGTGGGATGATACCAGGTCCGCAAGGTCAAGATAAGAAGCTTGAACTTGATACCGAAGGCTAGAGGAAGGGATTCATAGAGAGAGATACCTGACTTAGGGAATAGATGTACTGTGTATAGGGTTGCCAATCCTCCAGGATTGGCCTGCAGTCTCCCAGCATCGGCACTGATCTCCCGGTGACTATTGAAAACAATTTTTAAATTTTAAGAAAATGACATTGTCACGTTAGGGAAAAAAATCTCCCGGAATAGCTTCAGTCAGAGTTGGCAACCCTAACTACCTACTTCAGTTATGTAGAGACCTGTTCTTGTATGTAACTAGAGCTACAGTGCACGTGGACCCTGTGGATCCACCATGTTTCATCCAGAATGGAGCTGCTAGAGGAGCCTCAATCCATCCTGGAATTTCTGGCATACAAGGGGACTACATAACTTGCACCTGGAATGGCTGGCCAGCTCTGTGGGCTAATGCAGAGGAGGGAGGAGTCCAAGAGAGACACACATTATTGCATGGGCTTTCAGTACAGTGACCAGTTGTTACTGAAAATAGCAATATTCCAGAGTAGATAAAAGCTTGGTTCAAGCTCCCTGTGCTGATTACACTGAGCCAGCTAACTGCACCTGGCATAGCTACACACTCCTGACATAAAATCTAAATCTTATGCTTAAACAGTGTGTGTGGTGTCTGGGTTTTGTGATTTCCGAGTTGTTATTGCTGTTTGTTTGGTGGACATTGGGTCTTAGATACGTCTTCTGGCACCTTTCACAAATCACAGCTCTTAATCATAATAACAAAAGGTCAGACCTTTATTGGATAGGCAGCGGCTACCAGAATATCATCACCAGCCATAAACGAGTCATGGCCAGCAGCGGCTACTGACATCATTAATGTCTCATATTTATGAATATCTTTAAAAAAATAACTTTCACACCTTCAAATTAAGTAATAGCAATAGCATTGATAATGATGCTTTTCTGTCTCTGTTACCCTGCCTATAATCAGACAGTTCCTCTCCCACACAGGCTCCGAAGGGAGTGGTTATATGTTGCCCACCATTTTTAATGTTTAGTTACACAAACACCAGGATGATGCTTAAAACAGTAATCAGAAGAGTGGGTGGATTAATATTGGTTTAAAAATTTCAAGGATTAATATTTCCTAAGTAAACTCTATTGCATGGAGTTTAGGAAAGGAGGACTAAATCCAGATCAGCATAATCCTAAAAGTCAAATTGTGTCCTGGCTGGTGCTGGAGCTAAATGGGAACAAGGGATACGGGAGGTAAATCCTGTGATCAAACCAGGGCAGGATCCTGCTGGGGGGGATGGGAACTCATGGTGCAGCACATTTAGCTGCTGCTCAGAAAAAGAGATAGTGGATGGTCCCCCAGGTTAGTGCAAGGACGTCCCCCAGGCTAGTGCATGCTGCTGACTGATGTGTAGGGGCTGGCTAGCAGAGTCATGGGCCTGCCTCCCTAATGCGAGATCATGCATGCCTGTGGCTGTGGTGCATGGGCACGCTGGACAGTGGAGTCCCTCTCCTGACTGTGAAGTAAATACCTGCTCTGTGGAAAAAAGGGCTCCCTCTGCCTCCTTCTTCCCCTTCACACAGACTTCTGCACAGGCCCGCATTCCACGGCCCCAAGGGACTTGGTATGGCCCAGAGCTAGGCCACTAGTGAAGTATGTAGCAAGTGAGCATGCACCACTCATGCTGCTCCTTTTCAGAACATTCTCTCTCTCAGGTCCGCCCACAGGCACCCTGCTCTGCAGCAGAAGGATGGCTCTTGTACCAAATACAGCACCACCTCTCTTCCCCTCCCACATGCCCTGCCCTCTACTGTGCTGGATGTCACCCTTCATTAGTAGGAGCATATCACTCATCAGATTGTAAATAATAGAAGGATGTTACTATGATTAAATCCCCCATTCCCTCCCTGCACTTCAGATCAAACACCCTTAATGGGCGGTTAAAGGGCGGCGGTGGGGGGGGGGGGGGGGGGTGACAGTGAACAGATTGTAGCAAGGAAATCCAAGGGGATTCTTTTCACCTACTGTAGCACATGAAGTACAATATACTTTGTTCATCAAAATCGCACAGCTGAGACAATGATAAGTCCCCAGGACACATTTTAACTGAGTAACCCCGGGATTTTGTTTCAGCACCGACATCAGTCCCTACCACTACAGAGGGCAATCCTGTAGATGAGTGTGATGATGACCAGGCAAACTGTCACAGCGGAACAGGTGATGACTACCAACTGACAGGTGCAGAAACCATCCTCATTCCATTGCAGCCTCATTTTAGTTCATGTTGATCACCAATTACCAGCTAAATGTCTGTCTTGATTGAATCACTCATGATGAATGGACATTGGTATGCAGTTTGTATTGTCTGCACTGTCACAACATAGGCATCTGCATTTTATATGTGACAATACTTTTGATTGTTTTCTCCACTGTGTAATTTTTGAGGCAAAGAATAGTGACTAGCAGGCAGATAGGGCATTTTTGGACCAAGAATTGCATCTAATCAAATGCCTTATTTAACTTTCCCTCAGGAAAAAAACCCTGGACAGACCTTTAGGAAAAGTTTTATTCTGATACCAAGGGTAGCTCAAAATGAGGGTATTGCTGAGACTCAAGAGGCCCATTTTCACACTTCTTTTGTGCCCTTGCCATCTGGGGCAGGATTCCCTGCTTAGCCATTGCCCTTTCCCAAGAGGCCATTGAGTAAACAAATACACATTCACACAGAGAGAGCCGTGATCTATCTCTTCTCCACTGTCCCTCCAACACAACCATATAAGGGGTGGCTGCTAACGTCTTCAGGATACCCCCACCAGCATAGAGATAGGAAGACAAAGAGTCCAAAGCAGTGCACTGCGGTGGGCTCATACAGCCACAGACCAGGGTGTTTATGTTTCTTTTTTGTTCTTGTGCATAGAGACCCCTTCTCTCTGCATAAGTTGGCGCTGCACAGTCAGCTTTGGTATTTTTCTGTGGCTTACATATCTCAGAGGATTATGTGTCTGGTCTATTGGAAAAGGCCCTCGGTTAGCAGAAATATACACTGACACCAACAGGGCTTATTTTCAGACAAACTGATACAAGTTATTGCACTATCACTCCCTTCCATGGTTAGCCTACTAAATGTGTATTGCTTCCTATATCCATGATATAAAATATGGCTTAAATTTGGCACTCTGTGTCTGAGAGCACTTTGGATAACCTTAGATAGTTGGGGGTGGGAGGGGGGCTTGCACTGGAAGCAGTCAAGAGTGGATGCAAAAAACCTGCCCTTTCAGCATCCAGCTCCTTAGAATCATAGAATCATAGAATATCAGGGTTGGAAGGGACCTCAGGAGGTCATCTAGTCCAACCCCCTGCTCAAAGCAGGACCAATCCCCAATTTTTGCCCCAGATCCCTAAATGGCACCCTCAAGGATTCTGAGCCTTCACTGTATTTCCTGTAAACACAAGTTGCAAACAGAGGGTTTTATTCATAGTTAAAAAATACAGATCTTTTGAGCAGAAGTGGCACTGCACAGTCCCAGTCCCTGCTTTTCAAATCACAGTATCCTAGCTGATTTTTATTCTTTTGAAAATAGCCAAAGCAATGAATCTGAAATAAGGAAATACCATCTGACTGCTAAATAGTTCAGAAAGCTTTCAGCATCAGTAAACCTTTGGATTTCTTGCATGCATATATCTCCAGAGCTGATTCAAAGAAATCATGTGATGACATTCAACTGGGGCCCCTAGTTGCAAGGCTCACAGTTTAGGAGCAGATGGTGCATGGCACAGGTGCCCCATCTGAGGGGTAGGGGGAAGAAGGAAGGAGCACACAAAGAGCTTCCCAGTTCAATGACATTCACAGTCCCTGCTCTCCAGCGAGAAAGGAACTGCACCCATATGCCTCAGGAGGATATGAGACTATGGCCCCAACCATCCACCCTGGCCAACTCTACAATACACTACAGGGAGCAGTCTGAACCATCCAACACAGTGATGCAGCCTTCAGTCTTCCCTAAGTGCCAGGCCACTCGGGGAGGGAAACAGAACCAGGTCACCTGGCTCTTAGTCCAGTGCTCTATTTCCACTGCACAATACTGCCTTTTTATATAAAGCTTTTCAATAAAGCCTTCAGGCTTTAATATTATTCATTGCTTGTATTACAATCGAACTTAAAAATCCCAGCCTGCATCAGGCCCCCCTTGTGCTAGGCACTGTTCAGACACGTGGTATTTTATGGAGATAATATACATAACACAAACATGTAATGATGCTAATTTAATTATTTAAGTGAATTTTCAAAATGTATAAAAGGAATGTTTTATGCTGTGTAAATTGTGTGCCACACTACGGATACTGGACAGGTGAAGAGCTGATTTTTCAGCTTCTTCCCTTTTTTTGCTAGTTTTCAATTAGCATGTGAAAGGTTACATTCTCAAATGTATAACTCTGTCAGATTCAGCTGCTTGATAGTATTTACACAAATGTAAGTATCAAAATAACCTTGTCTGACAATATAACTGTCATTACACTCTAGACCAGATTCTTCCCTGGTACACTTTGGCCCCAAATATAGCTAAATTATTTGTGTGTCTTCCTGCATCGTCATCAGACTCTCCATTATATCACTCACTCAGACAGAAAACCAATATAGCTTGGGCATTCAATTTCATTAAAACTCATCCTAGCCTTTCTCTAACGTGTAAAACTTACTGGTGAGAGAAGGGAGATTTGGCTGATAATCAGCAGCCTATTGCTTCATAAACAAGCGTTCCTCTTCCTTTACTTTTTGTTTCCTTTATCAATATGATGACATCAGCAGTAAATTACTAAGTGCAGAGTGGAACCAAGGCTCCACCCATTCCTTGCCTACCTGCTCCAAGAAGAAAACACGTGGAATAGTTTCTCCATTCTATCCCGTGTGCCTGAACACAAGATCCAGGCTGTCCATGTCGGGATAGAAGAGAAGCTTTTCATCCATCTCATCCCTTCCACAGGCACAAAGTCTGTGTCAGATTCTAGCCCAGATCCATCCTTGTGGAGTTTTGATGTGAACTCTCCTCACAACTTAGCTACAAGACAATGCTGGGGAAGGATCCTGCAGTCGCTGGGGATGGACTAGGTTCCCTAATGTAGATCTTTTCTATCCCTGCTTTGGGATGCAGCATAGTATGGATGCTTGAGTGCAGAGTTGGGTTTTAGGAAGTCCTGAATTCTAGTCCCCAGCTCTGCCAGTAAGTTACTTCAAGGAAGACTTGCTGTAAGTTACTTCACTTCTCTGCCTAATTTTCACCATTCATAAAATGAGGACAATCACAGTGAACGTTGTAAGCATTAATTAGTTAGTGTTTCTAAATGGTTTCTTCGATATACAGCTCTACATAGGTGCTGTTTGTTATTAATATTTTCTATTATTCTTGTGTTGAAAAAGGAAACCAGATCTCTCTCTCTCTCTCTCTCTCTCTCTCTCACTCACTCATTCTGTATGAGATTTATGCATGCACATTCACATATGTATGTGCTTAGCCAGACAAACATCTCGGTAATATTTTTCATGTATATTTAGAAACTTCCTAATGATTGCTGTGTCTTACTGTCCTGTTTCATGTGTCATATCATGTATAATTTATTTTTCAGGTGGTACTACAGTGCTGACTACAGAAAAGCCGACAGTAATAGACAGTACAGTACAGCCAGGTATAAAAAAGAAATTTTCTCATTAAAAACATAGTAAATTCCTTACCCAAATCTCATGCCAAAGACAAAAATAATGAATTGCAGCACTTCCTGGCTTTCTGTTCCCTAAAAGTCTCTGAAGTAAAGAAGCATCTGGTCTTTGAGCTTTGTACAGTAAATATTTAACTCCTTTCATCCACATGTATATGCAGTCAACAGCAATATTTCCTTCTGCAAATGCCTAATGGTGACAATACTCGTTATAAACTAAACTAACTTAATCACGCCACAAACTCCATTTAAATGCAGCATATGTGTGACACTGTTTGCAAGCTCCAGATGAAAAAAACAGACAGAAAGACAGATTCACTATTGACATCCCTCACAATTCTGCAAAACCAAGATAAAGAAAGTTTGCCAGTTTTCTCCACCACAGAGCTGGCAAGTTTACAATATTATTTTCTAGCAAGTACTTTCAAAATGGGGTTATATAAACTGCTACCATAAACTTGCACTAAGAGGAAAGGAGCTGTCATGGGCAGCAAGTCATCTTTCCTTAATCAATACAATAGCTAACAGCTTTTACAATCCTTCATTTGCTACTTCCCCCTGCTTCACAGCCCAGGCTTCACAGCATTTGAGTTCTGGACATTTTTAATATCCTGTACAATTTAAAAAAAAAAAAAAAACCCCAAACTCCTAAAAGTATGAGCAGCAATTTTAAATGCTCTGTATTAATAACTGTGGACTGGTGAGGAGGTCAATGTTCAGTTATTCCCATTTCCTTTAGTAAAGCACAGCCAGGCACAGTCTCCCAAGTAATTTATTATTAACAGGGTGTGTAACTGTGTATCAGTGTTTCCTCCACAATAGGACACCATCAGGCTTTGCTTCAAGCAAAAAGAATTGTGTTAATAATTAGAATGCTTCCTTAAGGATACTGGTGACCTGATTAAGAAGCAAAATTGACTTAGTTTAGAAGTTGTTTTTGTTCTTAATTTCTGATTCCCAGAATAAAGGTGTATAGGTGAAAACTTTCCCCCCACCTCAGAATTTGTTTCCCTTGTCCTAGGCATGTGTTTAGTCAGCATGTATTATTCTGAGCAATGTCCTGCTTTCGAGTCAAGATGGGATCTCAACAGACAGCTCTGCCTGCCTGCTCCTGCACCACCTCGGTTAGAGGGAACAACCAGCTTGCAGGTAGAGCTGGTCAGAAAAAGTCAGACAAAGCAGTTATTGATCGGAAAACGTTGTTCTGTCAAAATCGAAATACTTTGTGACATCATGTCAATGCTGTCAACATTTTGTTTTGCAGTAAAAAGGGGGGGGGGGGTGAAGAGTTCTAAAACATCCCAGTAGGACATTTTCAGAATGAAACATTTTGATTTTTCCTTTCAAAATGATTTTTTTCTTTCTAACATTCTTATTATGTATTATATATTGTAACAAAACAGTCTGACCAAGCCAGAGTGATTGTTTTTTAATTTGCTTTCACTGAGAATTTTGAAATTTTGGTATTTGCTTCCATATAGGAATGAAAACAAATCTGGAAATCTCAAAATCCTCCATGAAATAGAATTTCCACTCTGCACACAGCTCCAGTTGCAAGTTATGCTGAGTCTTGTTGGCTTGAGTGGACTGTTCCGTAATATGACTGACTACTTTTGGCAAGGGCAGGGGAGAGTCTTTCAGGATCTCTTCATTGTCTTTCTTTACTGCCCGCCCCCCAGCACTGCCGTTACTTGCTCTGTGATGAGCCAGCATTTTTCCAGCTAAAGACATTGCTTTGAGGCACCCTTCAGAGCTTGCCAATGTTATTTCCCTTTATTGTTCAGTCAGTCACTTGTGTTCACTAGGCACTACTTCCTCCCATGGCATAAGGGATAAGCGCCGATCCCAAACTCCAATTCTCCATGTGGCAGCATATAACAAAGGCTCACAGACAGATGGGCAGCCAGATAAAATAGTGATGGTCCCTGAAAAAATGTTTATAAATTAAAACAAAAGTTCCAGAATCTTTGCACTGCCTCACTGCAAGGCATCCTTAAACGCTGCATAAAGGGGAAGCTGAGGCTATTCCCTAACATTGGGGAAATCTCTAGTGATGTGAAGGCAGTGTAAGTGGCTCTCCATCACCCATTCCTGTTGTCATAAGGGTCAGCCTTGGACATGGAGTGGCAGAAAAGGGGCAAGTAAGTTTGGGAGGGATGGGGTCGGGCAGAGTGCAAGATCCCTACTCAGATCCCCAGCCTCTGCAGCTACTGGTTGCAAGCAGTGTAATTTAAACTAACCTTGAAGCTGGTCTAAGTTATTCCTGGGACCTCTTTGGCCCCCACTGACCCAGGATTGGAGGAGTGACTTAGAGCCATCTTTCTCCACCCCCTCTCCTCAGCTGCTCCAAGTGTAACTTCAGTACAGCAGTCAACAGCCCTCGGATTTGGTCCTGATTCTATTTAAATCAATGAGATTTTTGCCATTGATGTCAGTGGGGCTGAGTCCTAAGGAAGTTAGAAACAAGAATGGAATAAAAAATGCTTAAAGGTTTGAATTTCTTAGGAGAGTATCTAAACTGCTTGCAAAAGTTGAAAAGTGTGGAGTCACCCAGACACCTAATGTAGCATTAACAGTCCCGCCCACCAAGATGACTACTTGACAAGTGTCATTCCTGTGCCTTGTCAGCCCAGTTCTTTTTAAACCTCTCTTGCAGTGGCAAGGAATTGATTTAAAGAACCAAGTGGCATGCTCAACTCTTGCCTATTTACACATAAACCAAGCTGTGTATTTGCACTATATGTGCTCAACAGGTGTGCACAGCCCTGTGTAAATCAGGAAAGTTAATAAATCAAATGTTTTGTTTCATGCAATTGTAATAACTGGTTTACAAAGATACATCAGGTAAAATGAGGGGACAAGAAACATCTTTAAGGTAGAGTGTGTCTGATTCTCTTTACACTAGGGCAACTTTACACCACTATACAGAGCCGCCTGGGGGGGGGCAAGTGGGGCAATTTGCCCCAGGCCCCCACGAGAATGTGTGAAGTCTGAGGTCTAAGACAGGGAAGGGGCCAGTAGTGTAGCTAGGGTGGGAGCGGAGCAGCGGCTGCTCTCCCACTGAGCACAAGTGGTACCTTTTTAATTTTTTGGCGCCTTTTAAATTTTTACTCACCCGGCAGCGCTCCGGGTCTTTGGCGGCATTTCGGTGGTGGATCCTTCAATGCCGCCAAAGACCCGGAGCGAGTGAAGGACCTGCCTCCGAAGTGCCACCGAAGACCCAGAGCACCACCGGGTGAGTACAAGTGGCTGGCACCTTTTTTATGTCCGCTCCCCTTGTTCGCTTCACCTGGCTACGCCTCTGGAAGGGGCCCCTGAAATTGCTTTGCCCCAGGCCCCCTGAATCCTCTGCGCGGCCCTGCCACTATAGTAGTGTAAAAGGACCTTAAAGTGTGTGAAAATATAATTTACTCCCAGTTTAAGACTGCTTTACACTGCCAGAGTGGTAAATGAGAATACTGTAAATGAGAATCAGATCCAGTATGTGAGCACTGACGTGGTCCAATTATTTTGATAAATTCCCATTTTAATGTTCAGATAACCCTGATACACAGCATCTATGAAGAGTTTTCTTCATGTCCTGAATGCCATTCTGCTCCTTCTTGCCTCCAGTTGGTGCAACTGTAGAAATATGTCAGACTGTGTCCCAAGAAAGATAAATGGACTTGAAAGGAACTCACCTAGCTGGATTTTCAAATGACTAGCTTGTTCATATGCAGCATTGATGATTACAGCTGTGAGCAAGATGTAGCCTGGAAGTACAGCCATTGGATACTTTCTGAGAGGATAAATTGGTTTAATTCCATACCACATAAACCTACATTTTTAAAGAGTGGGGATTTTGCCACACATAACCAATTGCTTCTAGTGCAAACAACCTGATATGCATTTGAGCTATGGCCAGTTTACTCCATGCTGTTGTTACAAAGCAAACCTAGCGATTGCTTAACAAGTCAAGAGAGGATCATTGTAGTTCAAAAAGATCTTCTAGTGGCATGGACCCAGTGTCACAGCATCTACATTTCCTTTCTCACAGCTGCCAACATAGGGTCCATGGGGAAATGGCTGCAGCTGACCTCTAGCTATTGCATCACTCCCTGGGACCTTGAAGAGTGTGATTTAGAGCAGCTCTACACCTGGTGTTCCTCAGCCAAATATCTATAGCTAAAATGTCCATTTCTCATTTTATGGGCCCTTTTAATTCCTAATCTCTTTACTGCCCATTCTTGCACTTCCCCATTAAGTTGTTTTCTAAACACAGTGAAATGTCATGCCTTTCCCTAACACTGCTGTTCTGTTTTTCTGAAATATGCATTAGCACCAGGCCAGTTTTTGAGAAAACAATAGAGACAGAGCAACGAATACTTCAAATAACTGCAAGCATACACTGGCCCAAACCTGATTGCCTAACTCACAAAAAAAGTCCCATTAACTTCAGCAGAACTACTCCCATGGGTTAGGTGAGCCAGAGTTAGCCCATTGAAATCAAGGGGACTATCTGGGTAAAAGAAGCCCATTTTCACTCCCAACCATGGTATCTACCACACCAAAGCTCAGATACATAGAAACTGCCATATTAGTTCAGACCAGGGTCCATCTAGTCTAGTATTCTGTCTCTGGCATTGGCCAACACCAGATATTTCAGAGGAAGTTGCAAGAAACTCCACAATAGGCATATGTTGGATAATGTACCCCCCCCCATGAAGGTCTCATCTGAATCCCTACTAGTTAGAGATTGACTTAAACCCTGAAGCATGAGGTTTTGTAGCTCTTCCAGCACTCTTTTTTTAGAATTAATTAATTTTCTCTAGACCATTCACGGTGTTATATACTTTTATCATGTTCCCTGTTACTTGTCTCCTTTCTAAAGTGAACAGTCCCAGTCTTTTCAGCCTCATTGTGTGTGCTATGTGATAGCTTCAGACCAATGTGCTGCATAGATCACAATTTTCCTGTGTTGTGGTTTGTATGTTGTGAGGGATGTCACAAGCTTTGCATGATACTGCCTTTGGGGTTCAATCAAATAAATGTTGTTTAACATTTTTCTTCTACTTTTTTAAAGTCCTATTTCATGGATGCAATGTCACCGCCATGTGACGCAGCTGTCTTTCTCATCATCTTTAGCCGTAAAAGGATATTTTTTGCTAACTTAAAAACTTTCACATCACTGCAACATAGCTCTCTTCCTTCAAAAACTTCCTTTGACTTTGAAGTGTTCCCTTTTAGGGCCTAATCCCTTTAATCTTTACTCAGGGCCCCACTGTCTGTGAGAATAACCTATGTGGGAAGGCATTTCTTACATGTTCTTTCCTCCAGGCCAGATGCTCCCCCTTCTCCGTGGAGAAGCTGGGAATTCTGCTCCTTCAAGCTTTGGATCCCCTCTGTCCAAAAAGAGCCTGGGGGATCCCCTGGAATAGGGAATCCACCCAGTAGCCCCTTGCCTCTCTTCTACAACCCAGCTCCATTATTACTTCTTGGATCCTTCAGGAGCTATGGTTCCAAGGGTTCCCCCAACAGAAATTGCCTTCTGTACCTCCCCTACAGGGTGGTTCACAATAAGTAGGGGAAACTCTGTAATACTGCAGGTACTGCATTGCATTTGCATTGGCTTTCCTTGTGAGTTGGAGATAAGAATGAAAAGGAGCACAGCTCATGTCCCCGAGTTGATATTGATGGGCGCATGAGGCCCTCTGTTCTTAGTTCTTACCCACACAAAACTCTCATTGAAATTAATGGAAGTTTTTCCTGAATGAGGACTGACGGACAACTGAATAACAACTTCAGGATTTGGCCCTTTGAGCAGTCACTTTGTTGAGAGTGGGGGGTTGTTCCACTGTGAATTTTCATTGCTTCAGATGAGCCCCTCTTCCAAAGGGGACAAAGTGTAACAGATTTTGAAACAGTTTTTGGAAACCAGAAATGCAAAGAATTCCATCCTATCTTTTGTAACATCTATCCATTCAAATTCCAAGTTCCATTGAAAACTGCTTTGTATTAAACCTTTGGGCAGAGTTGAAGAGAAGCTGAAAACAAGATATGATCTCATCCTGACCATAATAAACCCCATAATACCAGACTTCTCTTGTTTTACACGGAACTTGTGGGCAATGGGCCACATTTGTCTCTTTTCATTTTTGATTTGTCCATTTCAATGCTGCCATCTTGTGGGCCAACTTGTCTGAAAGATGCTGAAACTGTTTGTTACTAAACCTATGTACTGTAATTGCCAGCAGGCCTTTCCTACAGAGTTGTTTGCATTGTTATTGGAGCCATGTTTGTCCCAAATCCTTTCATTAGCGTGTCTGACTTTTTGTTGTTGTTTTTCATAACCAAATTTTATTGTGAGCTATTACACAGATCAAAATCTTATGGTATGAACAATTAGAAAAAAAATATGACAATTGGAACAGCATCTTCTTTGAGCCACAAGTATTACAACAAAAGTTATCTGATAATGTTTCAAAGAGCAGATGAGTTAATCAGGTCACATAAAATCAGAGTGGACTCAAACATTTATATATTCAAAAATATTTGACTAGCTTTATTTTATTCTTCCTTTTCCAAGCCTCTCTGCACTTCCTGGTTCTGCCTGGGACCAGAAATCCTAAAAACCTTTTCTTATGAGTTTTTCAGACCAGTTTTGTAGCCCTCCTCAGAGACATAGATAATCCTCTGAATTTTTGATGAATTATCCAAACCAAATCTCCATGTGGTTCACCCATCACTAATTAAGAGACTCTCATTTTGTGGCTTTGGCACAATTTTTTCCTTGTGACCCTCAAGTACATTTATATTACATATATTGTTGTGAGTGGAAATGTGGGTGAGCAGAGAATTGTCAGTTATCACGTATACGCTATGGAAAGAAATTGGTCTTGCATTTTAATGTAAAGCCATTGGCACTACTATACATAGGGCTTACCAGTGTCTAAGGCTATTACTACACTGTGAGCTAGGGATGTGATTCCCCTGCTGGTGTATACATGGAGCGAGCATGAGTACAAATTGCAGTGTAGCCACCACAGTAGTGGCAGTGAAGGCACAGCTGATCCATGCTGAGCACAGCAGGTTTGTATTCACGATGGCTCAGCCATGCCTCTGCTGCCACTACCATGGCTACCATGTCTATACTGCTATTTATACCCATGCTAGTGCAATGAGGAGAGCAGAGGAATCACATCCCTAACTTCTAATGTAGACATAGCCTAAAAAGCCCTGTCTTGGAATGTATGGAAGAGCCATGCTGCAGCTGAATTCCCAGGTGAAATTCTGAAGCAGGAGGTCCACCACCTGATCCTCCACGCTTCACAGAGCCAAATCTGCTTGCTGTTCACTCATCCCAGTCCTTTTGCTGAGGTGAGTACCACTACCTCATGGAGCAGTGGCTTTGCTCCCTAGCCACATTGTGGCTGGCTCTTGTAAATGAGCGAGGTTCCTTGCCACAGTCTGGCCCATAAAACCAGGAGAAAATAGCTACATAAGTTATTGGAAATAATTGGCTATTTTAGCTATTGCCTCGCAATCCTGATCTGTAAGGGCTTCTCAGAATTTCAAGTAGAAATGGTTATTTCCATAGACTAATCAAGGTAGTTTGTTGTTGTTGTTTAAATAAAAAATCTTAAGTTATATTGATAAATTGTATCCTTTTATTTTTGCCCCACCTTCCTCTGTTCCTGCAGAGTTGCCAGCATATGGTTTCAACTGTGGATTTGGTTGGGGATCTCACAAGACTTTGTGCCACTGGGAACACGACAGCCAAGTAGATTTAAAGTGGTCAGTGCTGACTAGCAAAACTGGGCCTATTCAAGATCATACAGGTAATCATGAGTTCATGATGGAGTCACCTTTTAGGGGAAAGGGGCATTTGTGTAGTGCCAGAGCATCTTCCAGAGCATGAGACTTTGCTGTATCTACATTCTAAAATATGTCTTTTCAGGAAGATGATGCCCTAGTTAACCCAGCCCATGACTTACAGTCGTGGTCTCCTGAGTCTGTTACTGCCAAGACAAGTGTGCCTTTTTGTCAGGAAATGAAGATAATCATCAGTCCCAATTCCCCTGGTTGATAACTCCTCTACGGGGCACTAAGACTTCAAATGTCTGCAGCAGTACCCTTCCATCCAGTCGCTCATCCTGTTACTGCTAGTTAACAACCAATATAATAATAAATGGATCCTTATGCATTCTTGTTAATAATGATGGGTATACATCTACCAAAGAAGCAATATATAAGATAGAATTGTAACTTCCAAGGCTTCTTCAAACATCAACCCACCTCAGATGGTATCCCCCTCTTCATACATGGTTCTTCAAGAAATAATATCTCAAGGAACTGATTGGCTGATCCTGAGGAACCCCTTTCCCAGAAGTGCCCTCCAACTCGGGCTTCGGCATAGCAGGATCATAGATACACTGATGAGTACCAGAGATGGGAGGGCATTTCATGACCTGCACATCTTTAGTTTTAGTGTTCTCTTTTTCATACGTGTAGTCTAATTAAATGTGCTAGAGATGAATTTCCCCTTTCCACTTCTGCAGCCCCTTTGCCTAATGAGAATGACAAGGAAATTAGATAAAATTGGACTCCTTAAATTCTGAGACACTTTCAATTGAATCTTGAGACAAGTACAGTAGTTTTAGAAAAAAAACTTAAAATACTTTGACTATAAATGGCACTGTACAAATAAATGGCATCAAATTAACTAAACGCAGTTAGCTGAAATGAAGGCTGTAATGGTGGAAAAATTGATGCAAAGTAAAGTTAAATGGTTCAATAAGATCTGACATTGAAAGGAGGTTAAAAGCTACGTTAGCCAGAGACTGACAAAATCTAAAAGGCATGCATAAGTAAAGCTCTAATTAAGACAACGAAGACAGAGTTCCTGACCCAGCACTGCAATAATATTCTGGAAATGAGAAATATCTGCACTTTGCTACCAAAGATTATAGAGGCTGAACTTGTCTTCAGTCAAGAGCTGAAGAAATGATATTTCTTAAATGAGATTTTGTTGTTCCTACCAAGCTCTGCTATTACAGGGACCTTTTTATTTCCAGTATCTAGCTTTGAGAAGTTTCCAAAGCATTATCTTAAAGCCCCTTTTCCTCCCTCCTACTGCAACACACAAAAATTTCCTAAATTTCCTCTCTGACTCAAAGGTGGTCTCCCCCTGCCTTGCTTGCCACCCACTCAGCAGCAGCTACAAAATGGGTATGTAGGTAGATTACTAGCAAGCAGTTTGGCTGCACAGAACTGCAGTGATCGACAAGCTGATCAGTATCTGAAGTCACTAAAGTTAGGCAATTTTTCTTCCAGAGTTCTTTATATATTATGGAAGAGAAATTATTAACCATTTTGAGTCACATTCTGCTCTCATGTGCACATGTATAAATCTGGAGTAACTCCCCTGAAGTCATGTTTACTTCAACAGCGCCCTCCCTGAAGCAATTGCTTTAAGACTGCAAGGCCTGCCTCACATGACTTCAGCATACACATGTGGTATGAGGCCTCCACATGGTTATATTTGGACTGACTTCTTCCCAACCTGGTCAGTCAGCCTAACTCTTCAGTCATTTCCCTTCTCCCCCCGCCCCTTGGATTTCCCTATCACCACCCTGTAGGCACACTTGCACATGTATATGTTGCAGTCTGAACAGAATGGAGGGCTGGGAGGAACATTCAGGCACAGAAACCCTTGCCTGAGAAGCTGAACAGAACTTTATTGCAGTAAAACTGAAAGAATCACATAATTTTCATCCTGGCTCCTGTGCAGAGCTCTTCCAAACCTTGATCTACCCTGCATCCCCTTTGGACTGGGTATCTGACTGAACAATGATTAGTCTAATAAAGCAGAAACACCCCCATTTCACATTAGAGAGGCCAGTTTTCTCACCTCTACTGCCTTTAGCTCCTGGCTCCCACTCCTCTCTTCTTTCTTCCTTCAGCTTTTACTGTCTCCTCCCTCGCATACTTCCCAGAGTGGCATGGCTGGTCAGCCCCCATTGGCCCAGTTTGGAACACATTACAACACCTCAACAAAACACTCAAATGAACGTTGTTCTAAAGGTACTTTAGGGCAGTGCTACTCAAGCTATCTGATGTGGGGGACCGGCAATTTTTTTTTCCAATGTGCGCGCAGACCGGCAGCTGATGGCTCGCGGACCAGCACTGGTCCGCGGACCATCACTTTGAGTAGCACTGCTTTAGGGTATTAATATCACTACACTGTACAGAAATAAACACCAATCCTGAAAATATAGCCTTGTTCTTCCATAGCCTTATGTTACATACAACCCTTGCTTTTTTTCTTTTCTTTTGTTTAAACACTGGATGTGTGCGTGGACAGATATTACCTAATTTAGAATTCAGGTGTTATATACCTTTATTGTTCCTTTTCTCCCTCCTACATTCAAAATTACTTAGTTCTAATGCCATTTGCATTGCTTCATATGCAGAAATACATCTGCAATCACAATGCATTGTTACGTGATCTCGGGATAAGTCTTATGTCCTGCCATCTGAGATGTTTGTAGAAATCTATTGTAGAGTTTTAAGGATTATGGACCAGATCCTTGGTTGGTGTAAATGGACATAGCTGCACTGACTTCCATAGAGATTTTCTGATTTACACTAGCATAAGGTCTTGTCTTATAACTGGTTTCAGAGTAGCAGCCGTGTTAGTCTGTATTCGCAAAAAGAAAAGGAGAACTTGTGGCACCTTAGAGACTAACCAATTTATTTGAGCATAAGCTTTCGTGAGCTACAGCTCACTTCATCGGATGCATTCAGTGGAAAAAACAGTGGGGAGATTTATATACACAGAGAACATGAAAAATGGGTGTTATCATACACACTATAAGGAGAGTGATCACTTAAGATGAGCTAATACCAGCAGGAGAGCGGGGGGAGGGGTGAAGAAAAGCTTTTGTAGTGATAATCAAGGTGGGCCATTTCCAGCAGTTGACAAGAACGTCTGAGGAACAGTGGGGGTGGGGGGAGGAATAAACATGGGGAAATAGTTTTACTTTGTGTAATGACCCATCCACTCCCAGTCTCTATTCAAGCCTAAGTTAATTGTATCCAGTTTGCAAATTAATTCCAATTCAGCAGTCTCTCGTTGGAGTCTGTTTTTGAAGTCTTTTTGTTGTAATATTGCGACTTTTAGGTCTGTAATCGAGTGACCAGAGAGATTGAAGTGTTCTCCACCTGGTTTGTGAATGTTATAATTCTTGACATCTGATTTGTGTCCATTTATTCTTTCATGTAGAGACTGTTCAGTTTGACCAATGTACATGGCAGAGGGGCATTGGTGGCACATGATGGCATATATCACTTTGTCCTCACCCATAACTATTTCACATTTGGGGACAATGTATACCTTCAAATCAGCGGCACTGCTATGGGTACCCGCATGGCCCCACAGTATGCCAACATTTTTATGGCTGACTTAGAACATCACTTCCTCAGCTCTCGTCCCCTAACGCCCCTACTCTACTTGCGCTATATTGATGACATCTTCATCGTCTGGACCCATGGGAAAGAAGCTCTTGAGGAATTCCACCATGATTTCAACAATTTCCATCCCACCATCAACCTCAGCCTGGACCAGTCCACACAAGAGATCCACTTCCTGGACACTACGGTGTTAATAAGCGATGGTCACATAAACACCACCCTATACCGGAAACCTACTGACCGCTATTCCTACCTACATGCCTCCAGCTTTCACCCAGATCACACCACACGATCCATTGTCTACAGCCAAGCTCTGCGATACAACCGCATTTGCTCCAACCCCTCAGACAGAGACAAACAAGATCTCTATCAAGCATTCTTACAACTACAGTACTCACCTGCTGAAGTGAAGAAACAGATTGACAGAGCCAGAAGAGTACCCAGAAGTCACATACTACAGGACAGGCCCAACAAAGAAAATAACAGAACGCCACTAGCCATCACCTTCAGCCTCCAACTAAAACCTCTCTAATGCATCATCAAGGATCTACAACCTATCCTGAAGGATGACCCATCACTCTCACAGATCTTGGGAGACAGGCCAGTCCTTGCTTACAGACAGCCCCCCAACTTGAAGCAAATACTCACCAGCAACCACATACCACACAACAGAACCACTAACCCAGGAACCTATCCTTGCAACAAAGCCCGTTGCCAACTGTGTCCACATATCTATTCAAGGGACACCATCATAGGGCCTAATCACATCAGCCACACTATCAGAGGCTCATTCACCTGCACATCTACCAATGTGATATATGCCATCATGTGCCAGCAATGCCCCTCTGCCATGTACATTGGTCAAACTGAACAGTCTCTACATAAAAGAATAAATGGACGCAAATTAGATGTCAAGAATTATAACATTCATAAACCAGTCGGAGAACACTTCAATCTCTCTGGTCACTCGATTACAGACCTAAAAGTCGCAATATTACAACAAAAAGACTTCAAAAACAGACTCCAACGAGAGACTGCTGAATTGGAATTAATTTGCAAACTGGATACAATTAACTTAGGCTTGAATAGAGACTGGGAGTGGATGGGTCATTACACAAAGTAAAACTATTTCCCCATGTTTATTCCCACACACACACACACACACTGTTCCTCAGACGTTCTTGTCAACTGCTGGAAATGGCCCACCTTGATTATCACTACAAAAGCTTTTCTTCACCCCTCCCCCTGCTCTCCTGCTGGTATTAGCTCATCTTAAGTGATCACTCTCCTTACAGGTTTCAGAGTAACAGCCGTGTTAGTCTGTATTTGCAAAAAGAAAAGGAGGACTTGTGGCACCTTAGAGACTAACCAATTTATTTGAGCATGAGCTTTCGTGAGCTACAGCTCACTTCATCGGATGCATACCGTGGAAACTGCAGCAGACTTTATATATACACAGAGAATATGAAACAATACCTCCTCCCACCCCACTGTCCTGCTGGTAATAGCTTATCTAAAGTGATCATCAGGTTGGGCCATTTCCAGCACAAATCCAGGTTTTCTCCCCCTCCACCCCCCCACACAAATTCACTCTCCTGCTGGTGATAGCCCATCCAAAGTGACAACTTTTTACACAATGTGCATGATAATCAAGTTGGGCCATTTCCTGCACAAATCCAGGTTCTCTCACCCCCTCATCCCCCTCCCAAAAACCACACACACAAACTCACTATCCTGCTGGTAATAGCTCATCCAAAGTGACCATTCTCCCTACAATGTGTGTATGATACAGTGTGTATGATAACACCCATTTTTCACTTTCTCTGTGTATATAAATCTCCCCCCTGTATTTTCCACTGAATGCATCCGATGAAGTGAGCTGTAGCTCATGAAAGCTTATGCTCAAATAAATTGGTTAGTCTCTAAGGTGCCACAAGTACTCCTTTTCTTTTTGTCTTATAACTGTACTGTATATGAACTATAAACTAATCTTAGTTGGATGGAAATTAAATATAATCCTTTGTTGGATGGACATTATGAGAAACATACTGGTGTAATTTTGTTACCCAAACTGAACAAAATTTCCACATTCTTCTCACTTAAAGTCATTAAAGATGGGATTCCTGAAGGAGCCTAAGGGAGTTAGGCACCCAAATCCCAGGACACCTAACTCACTTGCACGCTTTGGAAATCCCAGCACATTCTTGGTGTTTTGGGAGAGTATTTCGCACAAATATATTGAATCAAAATGCATCCCTGAAATCAATCGAGTAATTCCAGAGATTAATTTGTCCAGCCATTATTTATTTTGTGGTTCAGCTTTACATAGAAATCACTTCTGCAGCAATGTTTGTATTTCAGTTCCTGTCTAACCATGGCTATTCAAAATGGTTTTATACTTCTATGTTCATTCCTTCCTAAAAAATATAAACACTGCACACTGCACTGCTCTGTGCACTGCTCTGTTTGAAAACAGAGTTAAAATAGTCCTTCACACAATAATTGTAGGGCAAGCCAAGGTGTATTTATATCTAGACTGGTGCAACATAGATGTCTCTTGTCAGTAGGCATACACTGAAAAACAGAACACTCATTGTAATGAGCATGTTTTAGTCTCCTTTCCTGGGCAACTGTGAATGACCTCTGCATGCCTTAGCAGTGAACATCAACCATGATGCTACAGTTCAGTTCGCTATCAGACTTATACATGATCATGGTGAATTACAGAAAGTCATTAGCTGTGATTTACAACCAAAAGAAGTTATTGCTAATGTATCATTTTTAAAAACTCCCTAGGTAAATACTCCACCTACCTTAACAGTGTGACTCTTGACAGATAAATCTGGAAGAGGATAGAGTGATTTGGAATATTTTGGTCTGTTAGACTAACAAAAAATGAAACTTGGTCACTGTTTCTAACACACTATTATTGTGACAGCAGGAGATGGCAATTTCATTTACTCACAAGCTGATGAAAACCAGAAAGGCAAGGTTGCACGGCTGCTAAGCCCTGTGATTTACTCTCAGAACTCTGCACACTGCATGACTTTCTGGTATCATATGTCTGGGCCCCATGTTGGCACCTTGAAGATCAAACTGAGATACCAGAAGCCAGATGAATATGATCAGGTTCTGTGGACACTGAGTGGACATCAGGGGAACTGTTGGAAAGAAGGACGTGTCCTTCTTCACAAGTCTGTGAAACATTATCAGGTAAGATTGGTTGGATTTGTTCTGGGGCAACAGAGTCAAGGTCTGAGAGATTGTGCCGGCTATATTTCATATGAGATGGTAGAAAATGTCAAGGAACAATTTTTGTAGACAATATTGTAGCTGCATGTGGGATGTTATCGCCATGACAATAACAGCAGTGGCATATTTCATGGGATTCTAGATGACAGGAATACAAGCAGTTTGTTGCAGAAGGCTAGTTGAACTGCTTTACCAACCATTTGTCACCTTGATAAAGTTTCAACCTTACTACATCTATTGTTCTCAATTTAAAAGTCTTTAGAAAAGGTGTGAAATTACATAATGCAATATTGTTATGCAACAAATATTGACCAAAACCAAGCAAAGTGCATGTACATGTAACATCATGTGAACTTAAGCTGGATGCTTTTTTAAAGAACTGTTTGAGAATTCCTGAACACAGTTATTGGGCATTAACACTAAAGCCAATGTAAAATTATCTAATTTTGCCAGGTGGTTGTCGAGGGAGAAATTGGAAAAGGACATGGAGGAATTGCTGTAGATGACATTAATATTGACAACCACATAGCACAAGAGGATTGCCAAAGTAAGTATGACTGGAAGAAACCACAAAAGTCTCATCCAGAACACTATTCATCCTGCTCTGATAGCTTTTGTTTTGCTAAGGGCTATATCATGCAATGGATTGATTTATTGATTATAGTGAGAGTTTTGCACTCTGAACAAGGTCATGGTGTGGCCTACTGCTTCAGCCTTTACTCAGGCAAAACTCCCAATAAAGTCAAGGACTGCAGGATCAGGGCCAAAATGGCGCATGCCACCATCTTGGATGAAATAATTCTGAAATACCAACCCCTAATTGCGGATAGCATTCCAAGATGAGGCAACCATATAATTACAGAAGACAGAAATTAAAAGACCTTTTAGATCATCATGTTGCTAATCTGTTTAAGTCCCTTCGTATCTTTCTTTGTTCTAATTGATTTTCAGAATTTCAACCAATTTAGTTAATCAGTGAATTTTGTGAACATGCTACTTACTCCCTCTTATAGATCATTAGTGGCTATATTGTATCAGACTGATCCTCGCAGTGATCCCAGCCCAGCCCCACTAATCACCTTCCCCAAAGCTTAATGCATTTATCATTACCATTTATTTACAGTATTTTAGTCAGTTTTCAAAACACACACTAAATGTTCTTATCTCTGCCAATATGAATTAATATTTATGATAGGATTTTGCAAAGCACTGTATCACATGCTTTATGAAAACCCAGATAGATCACATCTGCCATGTTCCTTTCATCCGCTAAATCTGTAATTCAGCATTGGTTGTGACCTGATTCCCCTAACTACCACCTTCTAGATGTGTGGAACATTGAGTGTTTTAAGAACATGGTACATTCAGTCTCTCAGTGGGAAAGATGGATATTTATATCTGGGAGCATCTGGGCAGTTCAGACCTTTAATTCCTGATCAGTCTCTAGTTACTCCATAATAACTCTATGGGTAGAGCATACTGCAGTTACTCTGGCAGCAATCCCAGCTGTACACCAAGAGTAAAGTCCTGCCACCACCCTGTTGTCTTTAAGTGTCTTATGTAATGATTCTACCATAGGGGATGGGGAATAGAATCCAAGACCTTCAGCCCCAGTTTCTGTCATTTGGCTAACACCATCACCTACAGTAAACTCTTATCCTCTTTGTCCACTAGCAGGGGACAAAACTCAGCCAGCATGTTGCACATACATGCAGTAAATCCACTGTGGCTTCTCTGCAGGAGGATGGGGCAGGATTTGAAGAAACTACCCACTCCCTACGTAGTGTGGAATCCAGCTGTGTGGGGGCACCCTGCATGCTGTCATACACTGGTTGTTTAGGATAATCCAGTTCCTCCAGCAACCTCCCCCATGTTAAGCAGGACATTAAGACCATAAGCCAACCTATAGAGCATCTCCTGTCCCACATAGTTGGCTGTGTTGGGGAGGATAATTCCCTACTTACACCCCCTCCCCCCAGTTGAGTTACTCAGGCTGGATGCTGGTCAAGGGATTTGGACCTTTGAGTTCCAATCAAGAGCCTGATCCTGCAACTCTTACTTACACAAGTAGTCCCATTGCAGTCAGTGGTACTGCTCTTGTTATTACTACTTCTCTGATTAAGGGTTACAGGATTGGACACCAAAATTGTAAATAGAATGAATGAGATGCTAATTTCTCATTCTGATTTCTCTTTCCCAGACATGGAAAACCCCTGCTGATAACGCTAAAACTGTGCCAAGATTGGGCGGAGGGGAGTTTTTAAACCTTTCTTTTTTCTCTGTTAATTTTCAAAGCTCCAACGTAATGAACAGCTCTGTCAAGCTGACATAATGATGCTCTGACACAGAAAAATCTGCAATACCATTATTGCCAGCATGATCGTCAATCAGTGTTTGTAACCCTAATAATCAATGTCATTTCTCTTTGCTTCATTAGAATCAACTGATGTGGAAAATGAAATAGACGAAGACGACCCAGAAATTAATCAAACAGGTAAAAATGGTCTTGTTGTTAAAATAGAATAAATTAAAAGGCGCATTTTCATGTGAATTTGAGTATTTATTATCATCCCATTTACTAAATAAAATTATATAATGATATACAGTATTGAATATTTATGATTTATCTGTAGATGCCATTTATATTTTGCAAAATATAAAATATATCTAATATATTTAAAGAGGTTTTAAGTAGGTATAAATAATAAAAGTCCATCAGATTGTAAAGAACAGTAGCATAAAGCTACTCATTCTAAAGCTCACCATATAATGCAAACCTGGTTAGAATTTTTTTGTCTGTAAGTGATCTTTAGTGCTGAAGGAAATAGTATAATGTATGTTCATGTCATACCCAGGTAATTACGCTCAAAACTCTCTTGGCTAATAATTTCTCTCAGTGCACTGAAAATGTAACTTTATGACCAATCAACCAAAGCAGTGCAGTTTTCTCCAGCAGTAATAATCATAGTTCTAAATATATCGATCACTCAACATATTCATTAAAGGTATCATAATTGTCACATTAACCTGATAAAAAAATAGCCCCAATATGTTCATAGTTTGCCGTCAAAGAGGCTAATCCTGCTTCCACTGAATTCAATAGAAATGTTACTATTGACTGAATGGAAGCAAGATTAACCCAGAGAACGCTTTCAGTTTTTACTGTAAAGTTAGCAGGTTTTATAGCCTCATCATATCTCTGTAATAAATCCAGATAGAGATGGGGGAAGTCATTGTGCCATCAACTGAATATTTTACATAAGGAGGTAGAACAAGGACCGAAATAAAGGTAAAGGTGGTGGAGTAGCACTGTATATCAATGATGAGATAGAATGTAAAGAAATAAGAAGCGATGAAATGGATATGACCGAGTCTGTCTGGGAAACAATTAAATTGGGGAAGAAAACTATTAGAGCCTCCCCTGGGATAGTGCTTGGGGTGTGCTATAGACCGCCGGGATCTAATTTGGATATGGATAGAGCCCTTTTTAATGTTTTTAATAAAGTAAATACTAATGGAAACTGTGTGATCATGGGAGACTTTAACTTCCCAGATATAGACTGGAGGACGAGTGCTAGTAATAATAATAGGGCTCAGATTTTCCTAGATGCGATAGCTGATGGATTCCTTCAGCAAGTAGTTGCTGAACCAACTAGAGGGGATGCCATTTTAGATTTGGTCTTGGTGAGTAATGAGGACCTCATAGAGGAAATGGTTGTAGGGGATAATCTTGGCTCAAGTGATCATGAGCTAATTCAGTTCAAACTGAATGGAAGGATTAACAAAAATAAATCTGCAACTAGGGTTTTTGATTTCAAAAGGGCTGACTTTCAAAAATTAAGGAAATTAGTTAGGGAAGTGGATTGGACTGAAGAATTTATGGGTTTAAAGGTAGAGGAGGCCTGGGATTATTTTAAATTAAAGCTGCAGAAGCTATCGGAAGCCTGCATCCCAAGAAAGGGGAAAAAATTCATAGGCAGGAGTTGTAGACCAAGCTGGATGAGCAAGCATCTTAGAGAGGTAATTAAGAAAAAGCAGAAAGCATATAGGGAGTGGAAGAAGGGAGGGATCAGTAAGGAAAGCTACCTTATTGAGGTCAGAATATGTAGGGATAAAGTGAGACAGGCTAAAAGTCAAGTAGAGTTGGACCTTGCAAAGGGAATTAAAACCAATAGTAAAAGGTTCTATAGTCATATAAATAGGAAGAAAACAAAGAAAGAAGAAGTGGGACCGCTAAAAACTGAGGATGGAGTGGAGGTCAAGGATAATCTAGGCATGGCCCAATATCTAAACAAATACTTTGCCTCAGTCTTTAATAAGACTAAAGAGGATCTTAGGGATAATGGTAGCATGATAAATGGGAATGAGGATATGGAGGTAGACATCACCATATCTGAGGTAGAAGCGAAACTAAAACAGCTTAATGGGACTAAATCGGGGGGCCCAGATAATCTTCATCCAAGAATATTAAAAGAATTGGCACAAGAAATTGCAAGCCCATTAGCAAGAATTTTTAATGAATCTGTAAACTCAGGGGTTGTACCGTATGATTGGAGAATTGCTAACATAGTTCCTATTTTTAAGAAAGGGAAAAAAAGTGATCCAAGTAATTATAGGCCTGTTAGTTTGACATCTGTAGTATGCAAGGTCTTGGAAAAAATTTTGAAGGAGAAGGTAGTTAAGGACATTGAAGTCAATGGTAAATGGGACAAAATACAATATGGTTTTACAAAAGGTAGATCGTGCCAAACCAACCTGATCTCCTTCTTTGAGAGAGTAACAGATTTTTTAGATAAAGGAAACGCAGTGGATCTAATTTACTTAGATTTTAGTAAGGCGTTTGATACTGTGCCACATGGGGAATTATTAGTTAAATTGGATAAGATGGGCATCAATAGGAAAATTGAAAGGTGGATAGGGAATTGGTTAAAGGGGAGACTACAACGGGTCCTACTGAAAGGTGAACTGTCAAGTTGGAGGGAGGTTACCAGTGGAGTTCCTCAAGGATCAGTTTTGGGACCAATCTTATTTAATCTTTTTATTACTGACCTGGGCACAAAAAGTGGGAATGTGCTAATAAAGTTTGCAGATGATACAAAGCTGGGAGGTATTGCTAATTTAGAGAAGGACAGGGATACCCTACAGGAGGATCTGGATGACCTTGTAAACTGGAGTAATAGGAATAGGATGAAATTTAATAGTGAGAAGTGTAAGGTCATGCATTTAGGGATTAATAACAAGAATTTTAGTTATAAGCTAGGGACGCATCAACTAGAAGTAACGGAGGAGGAAAAGGACCTTGGAGTATTGGTTGATCATAGGATGACTATGAGCTGCCAATGTGATATGGCTGTGAAAAAAGCTAATGTCATCTTGGGATGCATCAGGAGAGGTATTTCCAGTAGGGATAAGGAGGTTTTAGTACCATTATATAAGGCACTGGTGAGACCTCACCTGGAATACTGTGTGCAGTTCTGGTCTCCCATGTTTAAGAAGGATGAATTCAAACTGGAACAGGTACAGAGAAGGGCTACTAGGATGATCCGAGGAATGGAAAACTTGTCTTATGAAAGGAGACTCAGGGAGCTTGGCTTGTTTAGCCTAACTAAAAGAAGGTTGAGGGGAGATATGATTGCTCTCTATAAATATATCAGAGGGATAAATACCAGAGAGGGAGAGGAATTATTTAAACTCAGTACCAATGTGGACACAAGAACAAATGGATATAAACTGGCCACTAGGAAATTTAGATTAGAAATTAGACGAAGGTTTCTAACCATCAGAGGAGTGAAGTTTTGGAATAGCCTTCCGAGGGAAGTAGTGGGGGCAAAAGATCTATCTTGCTTTAAGATTAAACTCGATAAGTTTATGGAGGAGATGGTATGATGGGATAACATGGTTTTGGTAATTAAATATTCATGGTAAATAGGCCCAATGGCCTGTGATGGGTTTTTAGATGGGGTAAGATCCAAGTTACCCGGGAAAGTATCTGGCTGATGAATCTTGCCCATATGCTCAGGGTTTAGCTGATCGCCATATTTGGGGTCGGGAAGGAATTTTCCTCCAGGGCAGATTGGAAGGCCCTGGAGGTTTTTCGCCTTCCTCTGTAGCATGGGGCACGGGTCACTTGCTGGAGGATTCTCTGCTCCTTGAGGTCTTCAAACTACAATTTGAGGACTTCAATAGCACAGATATAGATGTGAGGTCTTTTTTAGGAGTGGTGGGTGAAATTCTGTGGCCTGCATTGTGCAGGAGGTCAGACTAGATGATCATAATGGTCCCTTCTGGCCTAAATATCTATGAATCTATGAATCTATGAATCTATAAGTTCATCTGTAAAGTGCTTTTTCCCCTGTACCTGTCTCAGGGCCTGATTCTGATCTCTGGAAGCCAAAGTAGTCACATTTAATAAAACGATAGAATACTGGCAAAGGGCCTCAGGTGAACACTACCTTCTTGACACCTGATACCAGTGACTCCCACTGCCTCGCTCAAATTCTGAGGCAGAAGAATAATACCCTAAATGAGCCACAGCAAATTCAGAGATAAGAGTCAAGCTTGAACTAGTATCTGGGCCATACTGTAGTTTTTACCTATAAATTATTGCGCTAAAGAAATTGTGTTTTCAAACGATGCATCAATTTTTGTCAAAATCTAGACATTCTTCCTCCAAACCTCACCTCCATTCCCAAAGAAACCAGTGCATTCTTAGCCTGAGTTGCATATACTCATTCTTATACTCAGTCCTGTGAATGCTGCAATTATTATTCCATTTCAGGGTTTACTCCTCAGAATCGTGAGCATGAAGACCACTACAATGATAATGTCGCCAGAAAGCAAGGCAATGTGCTGAAGACCCTAGACCCCATTCTTATTACTATTATAGCCATGAGTGCACTTGGGGTGCTTCTAGGAGCCATCTGTGGAGTTGTCCTGTACTGTGCCTGTTGGCACAATGGAATGTCAGACAGGAACTTATCTGCACTGGAGAATTACAATTTTGAACTTGTGGATGGTGTAAAATTGAAAAAAGATAAACTAAACACACAGAATTCTTATTCGGAAGCATGAAAGTAAAAAGCAACTAAAGAAGTTTCAAGAGAATTGGAATGGAAGGACATATCGTGATTGTGCTGGGGAACTGTCCATCTTCTTTTACTGTATAGGCTGAAAAGTGCGTTGATAACGCTGAGCCAAGCTTTTCTCAGGAGCTTCAATGAGTATAACTGATAAACATGGACAACAATCTGTGTTAACAATCTGAATCATGTACAGTCTGCTTTTCCTGTTGGTTTTATTTGGAATAATCTAATGCTGGTGTTGAGACCAAGTATGATTGACTTATAGTTCATTTTGTCTTTCTTTTTCTCCTTCTCTCTTGGTTTTCTTTTATGGATAGTTTTATTTTTATTGTGCAAAATCCGAGATGCTGTCACAAAGTGTATTCAGTGGGGTCCTTTTGATGGACATGCTGTCTGTAGCTCAGTGCCCAGAAAATATTGGAGTAATGGCAATTTAGTGGACTCCTGCACCTGTATTTTGTGTATAATTGCTCGTGTTGTGCATAGGCAAAAAAGGATTAGGGTGTTTTTGAAAAGTACTGTAGCATCAGTACTGATATAGTGTGTCAGCTCTGTTTACGAAGCAATACGGTCAAATTTTATTGATGTTTTTCAGTGTTGTACTAAACTTCGTGCTTGTGAATTCCATACAAGAATATGTGCCATCATCAGACACAACTGGCAACCGAGTGTACTGCCCAGAATCTAAACAAAAAGTCCTTGGCACTGACTAGTGTATGTCCTCTCAAGTGCCTTTTTGTTTGTACTGCTTCTCATTGTGTTAACATTAACTACAGCTCTGTTTCCCTCCCGTTAAAGCCCTTGTCTTTAATCATATTCTGGTGGCTCATTGACTAAAAAGAAAGTATATTTTAGTGTAAGAAAGTAGCCTCGGAAAGGCAAGGGCTAATCATATTTGACAAATTAGCTTGATTGTTCTGCTTTCTGTATTTCAATTTCATGTCTCTTGACCCTTTTGTATAAAGCTGCAATATTCCCTTTTATTGTTCTTTCATATAGAATGTATTTTCAAATGTAAACTCTCTCTTTCTTTCTCTCTTTCTCTCTGAGTAGATTGCATAAGCATATGCCATTGTAAAGGAATGAAAACTGCAGCTTTAACTTGCTGGTAATGGCAAAGGATTTTATTAGACTTTGTGTTAAAAAAAATAAGGGAAAATTCGTAACCCTCCAAAGTCGAACTTTGGGTTTCTTGTTAACAGCATAAAGTGACAGTATCTTTTTTCCTTAGTCGTGAAACATGTATTGTACCCAATCCAAGATGCCTATTAATAGATAGTTACAGATGTGAAAATTATTAAGAATTTCCTTATTGAAAGATTGCCTCCAAAACAAGAAACATTCCCCTCCCCTGGTTCTATTCTCCCCTTGAAGTGTGTATGTATTCATGCTAATCAGGGTTTCTCATGTTCTATGACAGAATAAGATCCCACACTGTACATAGAACATGAACATTTAGGCCAAGTTATATCAAATGGTGTCCAGGCCTTTTGGCTATTGGCTACAAGTGAATAAGCAGCACTCTTTATAGGGTGTACTGCTTCTTTGTACCCTCAGCTTTTTGGATAGATACAGCTGGTTGAATAATGTAAACAAATATTCACAAATAATGTGTTTGATGATTGATGTGACAAATTTGTCAAATAAATTGTTCAGCAAATAATACTCAGCCACTTATGCAGCTGGTCCAACAAGGTAAGAAGAAATGAGTTACTGAGGGCAAGATTGTCACTGCCCTTTGGTATCCAGGTAGGGGAGTAAGGGTCTGTGAGAACTATCCCCACAGCCCTTTCATGGCCTGGCTGATCACCATTGCAGATGAAAGTGTGAAATCAGCCTCTTGCACAAGCAAGTGTGTGGGAAGTGGGGCAAGAGGGATGGAAGTGGGCAGAACTTTGATACCACATGCCCCTAATATACCAACCAGTGGATTTATTTCAACACAAAGGTTTTTGGGGGAAGTGAGTCTCAGTAAAGCACTGCAGTGATTTGCTTCCTCCTTGGAGCAAAGTGGAACCAGGGAAATAATTGTGATTTTTAGGATGCATAGTTCTTTCCCCGAGCTGCTTCCATAGGACAGCTATGCAGTATCTCTATGCAGGGCTAGGACTAAGTAGGCCTCAATCTAGCCCTGAATAATTTAAGTGATAAATGTAATCAATATTCATCAGATAAATGGTTCCAGGTATATTATTCAACCAGTCCTAATGATAGACCAAAAAGTCTTACAGAAAATCCACGTGTATCCTTGTAACAGGGCAGTGGGGATGAGAAAGTTTAACTATTTTACAATAAGACAAAATAGAAAAAAACCTATTAGTTGCTAATACTATGAACTCCTTCAGGAACATAAGAAAAAGACAGAAAACCTTCAAAAGGTAGAGACTTAGGATGAAATCCTGCCCTTATTCAAATCACTGGTAAAACTCCCATTGATTCCAATGCGGCCAGGATTTTTATCCATCATGTCCAACTCATACAGTAATCTAACCATATTGGTATCAAGGCAGCTAGTTAATTATCCCAAAGAAGATTGTTTTTCAAAATTGTTTTCACTGCACTTGTATCACAGTAGTGCAATTTAATTGCATTAGGGTCTGTTCTTCCTTAGATAAGAAAATGTACATTCCATTAACCTACATGCATGTATTGCCTTATAAAAGAAATCCAAATTTGGGGGGCCTGATCCAAAGTCTTTCCAGTAATTTCAATGGATTTTGGATCAACTCCTGGTCTTGGTCTAATCTGAATGGAAAAACTTGTTAAGAAACAAAAAAGAATACATCTCCCTTGGGTATCCAGCCCTTATTATCAAAATAAGAATATAGCACTGATGATTTGATTTCTCTGAAGGTGTTGGAATGAAAGTTGCCCTTCAATAAAGGAAAAATGATACTGCAACTTTACATTGAAAAAGTATCTTGCACTGATAAATATATTTAAAAATTATATGTTTATAGAGTTATTAATTTGTAAAGGCAGTGTTACAAAATGTTCAGTTTATATTGTTTTAGATTGTTTCATAATTTTAAAGTGTAAAATAACATATTTTTTTTCTTTATTGAAAAACTATAAAAATCTTCTGTAGTAAAATGATTTCATTTTACTGGTATATTATTCCTTCATGTTTTGTACCATCATAAAATTTTGTGCAAATTTTTTTTACAGAAATTTTTATTTTCTATGACAATATGACACTTGTAAATTGTTGTTTCAAATGAACAGTGAAGCCTTAACTTTAAATGACATTTGTATTCTCAGTCACTGAGTAGCATAAAAACCACATAGAACTGAACTGTAACTTAAAATTTCCAAACTATGACTACTACATTCCAAAGAAACAGTTGAATTAAACATTTTCATAAAATATCCCATATCTGATGCCTTTTATTATGCCTAGATGGATTGTTTTTAAAAGAGCTTGTCTTTTTAATATCTTGTAACAAGCACAATATAGTAATAGAGTCTCATTTGCTAGAAGAGAAAGTCACTGCTTAGAATAAAAGGATGAGACACAATATTTTGCTAGACTCAATCTGCATTAACTGAAATTGAACTCATAAGAACCCCAAGGCTGCCACCATTATTCACGAGAGTGAAATTCACCCCTTTGCAGAAATCCAGCACAGGGAATATGCACCACTTAAGGTCTATGGCCTTGGTCCTGCAGCCTGCTTTGTGCAGGTGGATCCAAACACACAAGGCAGAATTCCTTTTAAATCAGCGGGCCTACCCAGGTACAGTGTTCTGCTTACGCAGCTCAGATTGCAGAATCTGGGCCTATGGGATTATTCACCTAAATGCAGATTACTTATATGAATAAATATTGCAAGAGCAGGCTCTCAGGGCCCAATTCTGCAATCATTGTGGTGCTGAACTTCCACTGATTTCAGTGCAAATTTTGAGTACAAATCGCCTACAGGAATAGCAATATTGTCAAGTAGTTTGGGCCCGGACCTTGCATAAATTGCAAGTTGCATATTCTATTAGCTATGCCCTTTACATTATATTTACCCACGTTTCTTTTTAATATTGTTCAATTTTAAACTTTCTAAAAGCCCTATTCTTATTTTAAGTTGCATACATAAACAAGTTCATGGTCTTCAATTGTTTATATACATTTTTCTTTATCTACTTTACCACCATAGGTGGAAAACATCACAGAAATTATTACTCACAATGCTGATGATTATAATGATTGATCAGGAAGCACTGATCAGGATGGATGTTGTGACTTGCTGTATAAAATGTGAGATGCTGCTGTGGAGATATGCCCATGCATGGTACTGCTTTCTGCCCAGGCCTGGAGTTGCTCACAAGAACTATTTGGAAAAGCAGGTTTCAGAATAATCAGCAAACCCAGATTCCTCATAATTCATTTTATTTCACTGTTGCAGATGGAGATGAGGTGGTGTGAAGAATACAGCTACAGAATTAGTCCATCTAGGGTCACTTTTAGGGAAGTGGAGAAACAGTTCTGAGTTCAAGTTGACAGAAATTTGTCTTTCCTTCATTTACTGGAAATGAATTAGCCTAGAATCTAATGGATCCTTAACGCTAGCCCTTCAGTCTTGCATGCAGCATACATATGGGTTGGACTGACCTAATACATTGTGGGGGAACACGTTTTGATAGCCCAATCAGTCTTTGCAGAATTTAGGCTTTCATTTAAAAAAATAATTTCTAATCTTTTTGGGTGCAAAGAAAACCTTCCAAATGATAGACAGGTAGAAACAATAGAGGTGTTAGCTGCAGCCATTCATTGATAGGAGAAGCCCAATGGTGACAATCAAAATGTCAGCACTGGTAACTTTGTCCGTGTTCGTAACTGTAGCAGCAAGATTCAGTGATTCTGGGAGCTTGAGCAGACTTTGGGATTCTGGGGTGGAGATGGGAATAGAGTACCAGTACATTTTTCCTCCAACACAGCCAGTGTCCAGGAATTTCACCATGCAGTTCCCATTGCTAAGAAAAGCAATACACAGCTAAACTCCTGCACATCTTGAAAAACACAAAGATCAAAATCAAAGGAATTCATGCACTTTCACTTAAACACAAAAATCCCACCATGTCCCTTCTTTTTATTTTCTCAGAACCCCTAATCATTGTTATCAAGGCTGATTCCCCACTCTGACACTTTGAGTGCAGAACGTGGGGTCCTGCAAGGATCCTAAAAATTAATACTGGCCACTCCAGGCTTGAATTAAACTCCCAAGGTTACAGCTTTTCTCTGACCTTGGATGGGTAGATGCTGCCACCAGATAAATGCAAAAACCCCTTTGAGAACCCAGGAAGGCGCACTTGGGAATTCCTTCCTGTGGGGTACCCTCAAGCCCTTTCACCTCCCCGCCAGGGGAGAGCTGAGAAAGAAAACAAAAGAAATCAGTTGTTGCCACTGGCTAATTAAACATGTGCACAAACCTCTTAGGACACAAAACCCAATCCTGTTCTTTAAAAAGGTAAATTTTATTTAAAACAAAAAGAAAGAAAATACATTTGAAAACTCAGGCGATTGCTAGATTTAAAAAACACACTTACAAAAATTCAGCATCAAGAATAACCTTCTTCAGGTCCAGCTTAAAGGTTACAAGCAACACAAAAGCATTTGGGGTTAGCACAGAGGAGTCCACAAGCCATAAAGAAATAAACCGAGATAAACCTAACTGTGTCTTCCTAGACATTTCTTGATCTAATTACATATCTGCGGGTTTCAAGTAGGTAGTTTCTAGGTATGATTCACATGATTTTTCATACCTGGCCCCAAGCTTCTTACAGCATAGTTCCAGCCCTGCCTCTGCTTCACCCCGAGAACAGACAGACAGACAAAGAGGAAGTTTTTTCCCAATTTTAAGAAGTTTTAGCCTTCCCATTGGCTCTTTTGGTCAGGTGCCCACTCCCTTCCTTTTACCTCTGCTTTTTAACCCTTTACAGGCAAAGGAAGTAGAGAACAACTAAGAAGAGGGATTTTATAGCTAACTGGCAGGCGGGCCCGACCCCGCACTCACAGGGCAGCGGGAAGTGGAGTGACCCAGCCCCAGCCCACTCCGCTCTGCTCCCCTGGCTCCCAGCCTTGGGGCTTGGGGGGTAGGGGGGAACCGCCCCTCAGCACTCACTGCACTTACCGCCCAACCCCTGCTACAGTCCTCAGGGGAAGGGTTGGGGTGGGGCTGGGGTGGAGCAGGGGTGGGAAGAGGCGAGGCTGGGGTGGAGATGGGGGGGGCATGGGGAAAAGATGGAGCAGGAGCTGGTGCCCTTCGCAGCTGCATACTTTGCATATGGTAAGGACGGCCCTGACCCCATTCCTACAAAAGCTGCTCAAGCTTTGTGTGCAGAGAGGTGCATTGCACCCTGAAGTACACCAATAAGCCCCATTAATGTTATATGAGTTACCACAAACAACAAGAGGGAGGCCACTGTAAAGCATGCAACTCATCCAGTACCCAGTGTACATAGATGATGTCCAATGGCATGATTTTAATTGTAGAGCTTTGTAATCATATTAAAGTATGGTACACATTTAAAACTTCAGCTCTTTCATGTCATTTCCTTTATCCACTATCTTTTAAAATACTGCAAACTCACTGTTTATATCAACCCTTGTTCCAAGTACTGTACATTCAATTGTCTTTGTGCAACTCTAACTGCTTTTGTCTAGTACAGTACTTTCCTATTTTTCCTCAATGTTCTTATCTTCATACTCCATTGTAAGGTTTACATAACTGGAATTTCCATTCAGTTTCATTCCTAACTAGTCAGGGTTAAAAGGAACATCTATATTTAGGCTCTTAGAGAGTACATTTTCACTAGTACTGTTCTAAAGCTGATCCTTCTCTGTGTTTTCTTATGTATAACTAGTCTATTTTTCTCTTCCATTCTTCACTTCCAAGTTGCCCGAAGTCAGAATGTTGAAACTGGTTTCAACTATCAGATAAATGTTAATTTTAGTAGCACCGCTAATATTTGATCCCAGAAGTCCAACTAGTTTCAGTTCCAGTTTCCTAATTAACCTGTTCTTTAAAATATATTATGCCTAGCAGCAAATTGGTTCAAGGAGCAATAATTTATCAGCTCTTTAATTTCTTCTTCTTCTTCTGTACCACCTCAAGACATCCATGACAATTTTGTTATCTAAATCTGACTAAAAATCCTCTGGCATTTTTCACAAGTCAATTGGGTCTTATGCATCCAAACCTAATTCTATCTTCAGTAATTATATTCTGCCCACCTATAATTACCCCCTACAGTTTTTAATCACTTCTGAGGTCTTTAATTCCTATCCTAAATCATTGTGCAACATTACTGTTATTACTGTTACTCTTAGAGTTATTGTAAAAAGAAAAGGAGTACTTGTGGCACCTTAGAGACTAACCAATTTATTTGAGCATGAGCTTTCGTGAGCTACAGCTCACTTCATCGGATGCATACCATGGAAACTGCAGCAGACATTATATACACCCAGAGATCACCAGTTACTGTGTTTCACACCAGAGTGACTGCACTTTAGAAATGGGGGAAGTGGCTTCTATAGAAAAATCACTGTTCTTGATAATCAGTGGAGAACCTTCAACACCCAGCATGGAAGGGTCAGGAAGATTTAGACAGGACATGCAGTTTGGGTAGGGATTGTCATCAGCTGTCTGAGATGCTAGGTACATATTCAAGGTGACTAGCCCTTCCTGCCACTTACATCGCAGGGACTACACTCTTATTTTTAGAGCACTAGCTTACAGGTATGTCTCCTTGAGCTGGGAATCACCCCTTCAGCTCAAAGGGTAGATGTACACAACAGTGGGCTGGAGGGTTTTAGCAATTAAGCTAAACTAATTAAGCTAATTCAGCCAACGGGCTTGTCTTAACAGGCATGGCATGTGACAGCTGAGAGGATGTTTGTCAGAGAACTCGCATGTTCCGCTTCTCCACTCCTTCTTCCATAACAATATCAAGATGCCCCAATTTTCCATTTTGAGAATCTGAACCACTATATGCACCACAAAAATCATGATGGCAATTGCCACGGTCTGAATGGGCATGGAGACTGGAATATCCCCCTGACTCCAAGACGTGGCCCTTCCAGCACGAGGTTATGGGGAGGGAGGAGTATGAAAAAAAGCTTGTATTGCTGCTATCTACACCTGTTTTGTGGATATTATTAATAAAGGAATCTAGTCTCCAGGACTGTCAATCATGAGCATTATATTCCCATGGCTGGAAAACCGTTCCCAGAGAGTAGTTATCAGCGGTTCACAGTCATGCTGGAAGGGCATAACGAGTGGGGTCCCACAGGGATCAGTTCTGTTCAATATCTTCATCAATGATTTAGGTTATGGCATAAAGAGTATAATTATAGGATTATAGGAGTATAAATATAG